GATTAATTATGATTATATATTAATAGCTTTTCATTTCTATCAAACTTATGATACATTAAATCAAATGGTATTAATAATTAACTGATTTCGACTGATTTAAAATGATGATAAAATTTGATTAACTTAAATCATTGACAATCTAAATTTTGTTGATAGTAATCATTTTGAATTTGGTTTAATTTTCTCATATCTCAACAACAATTTATAGTTGGACAATTAACTTTTGATTGTTTGACACACTGACAGTTTTTTGTAAGCTTTTGGATCAATTTTGATTGTTACCTAATTGTTGGTTGATTATGATGATGGAAAGTTAATTGCGATAGTGAAAAATTGAAGGAGAAAAAAGAAATTAACTAAATTAGTGATTAATTTGCAAGAAGAAATTTTTTTTTTCTCCTTTAAATTAATGTGATATTTGCCTTTAAGGTGGTCTCAATGAACCTTATTGCAAATATCATATTAATTTGTAATCTTCATCAATTTTATCATCTTCATCATCATCCTCATCATCATCTTCATCTTTATCATTTTTTGGACATGATTTTGACACTTTGAAACCTTTGCAACTTTATGCCCTAAGGCTAAGGGTTGATAAAAATGTTCATACATCATTTTCATTTTGAGAATTCAAAGTTACCTTAATTTTTTGCTTCTCTCTCTCTCTCATCATCCTTATCATCATTAAGTCTCTTTCTTTTTGGTGTAGCAAGAGGTGATGATGAAGATAAACATTCTTACCTGAGCCTCACCTTTTATTTTCAAATCAATAATCAATTAAAACCTTAATCGAGTTGATCAGAAAAGGGAATCATGATTATCAATTTATTCACATAATTTTATCCAAATCAATATGAAATTTAATTTAAACAAAACATTGATTATCTTCATGATGATCATCATCTTCATCATCACCATGGTGAAAATTTCAAGGTTGACTCATCACCTTTCATGGGAAATGTTCAAAGAACTGTCAGCTGATTAGTTGATTTAATTCAAATTGTTTCTGTAACTCTTTCAGCTTAATTGTTATCATTTTATATATGAAAGGTTGACAATGACAAAGTGAATTAATTTACTTGATTGTGGAGTTGATTAATCAAAGTATTTTTTTACTCTTACAGTTATAAATTGTTATTTCCTCTTCCCTCTGATTGTAATAACAATCAAATATATGGAGAGAGTTGATTAACTTGTTCAACTAAATTGCATATTGATTTTTTTTTGCTTTTCTTTATATATGTTTAACTATTATTATTTTCCGTTGGATTAACATTGAAAGCAATCAAATGTTAATCATTGTGATTAAATGTCACATGAAAAATAATGATTATATAGTTTACTTGATGACCTATTAAGGAAAAGAGGTGATGAGGAAGATGAGGATGAGGATGGAGAGAGAGAGAGAAATGTTGATGATGAATTTACATCATTATTTTAAAAGGAGAACTTTTTTTCCCTCCAAACATATTGACTTTTTAAACGCACAATTAAATTTAATCACATAATTTGTGACTAAACATCAGCTACAAATCAAATTATCTATTGATTATTCATTGATTATGTTTCATCTTCATCATTTATGTAACTTTTTTGAAAGAAAATTTTTCTATTCTCTTCAATTATTATTATATTTTAAGCATAGAAGATGAAAACAGCTTAAGAAGTTTGTCTTCTTAATCTCCCTCTTTATCTTTATCCCCATCATTCGTAGTGATGAGGATGCTTTTACTTATATGCTCAGAAAATCATTGGAAACAATGATTAGTGTTTTTTTTTCATTTTTTTCTATTGCAAAAAAAAAGTAACAGGAGTTTGATTATTTTAATGCAAGTGAGGCAGTGAAGATGAGGATGATAATGGTGATGGAGGGAAAAAGAGAGAGAGAGAGTATCAAATCCATTAGGAGCATATTTGACATTATATTATCATTCAATGAACAATTCCAATCACGATCAGATTTTTTCATCCTCATCTTCAGAAATACTCAGATGATGATTTTTTGTTTCGTCAAAATCTCTTGTGAATTTCGGTCTCTCTCTCTCTCTCTCTCTCTCTCTCTCTCTCTCTCTCTCTCTCTCTGATTTCCATCCTTATCTTCATCTCCTTCTCACGCTTCTCTCACCGGAACCTTTAACTTTGTTGTAACTTCAATTTCTGTTTTTCATCTTCATCTTTCAAAGAAGTAAAAAATTACTATCAATTCATTGTTCCTCTTTCTCATCTTCTGATTCATCATCATCTCCATCACCACACTCATTCCCACCCTCATCTTTTTCCCTAGAATCCCTATGGTAAATTTAATGAAATATGTCACCAGAGGGAAACAAAATTGGTTAGTGAATTTTAAGTAACATGAAACAAAAATGAAAAATATAAATTGTTACAAATTTAAATTGTAAATTTTATCAATTGGTGACAAATTTCATCATCCTGATCACCACCATCATGTTAATCGTAATCGTCACCATTCACTTGATTAAATTAACTCCTTGTCCATATTAATTTAGTTTACCAATTTATGTTAACAATAATTGAGAAACATTTTTATCATGATTATCATGAGATGAGAATCAAAATCAAAATCATCATCATAATCATCACTCTAAGATTATCTTAATCATAAACAAATCCTTGGATTGAATTTAATCCGCATCAAGATTAAGATTAAATAAAAATGTTGATGATTAAGATCAACTTATTAATGAAGGAAAAAGGTTTCTCATCAAATCAGTTAATCATTAGGAGTTAATTGTGCAGAAGTAAAAAACAAAATTAAATGATAACAAACATGAAATGCTAATCCGATCATGATTAAATTGCAATCTCGCTGATTATGATTAGTTAATTGAATTGTCAAAATTAGAAAAGAGGAAAAATCCAATGGAAGAAAAAATTTCTCTTCTTTTATCCTCATCTTTTCATCTTCACCTAGGAAATCAATTATCTTCATGGAGTAAAAAAAGATGATGATGATAATTTAATGAGTTTACATAAATAATTAACCATGAATGTTAATCAGGATCAACTAATTGTTAGTTCATTTAACCACAAAAAAACAATAATCATAATAATCAAACTGATTTCCTGTTGAATAAACATTTACCTTGATGATGAAAACATATAACAATCAACCTAATGATTAACATCATCATTTAATTATTGCAGTGAATTAAATCAAATTAACAAACTTTAACTGTGATTGTGAAAGTTGATTAGGAAAATTTTCATTTGCAAAACAAAATTTTCAACAATCAAAGTGATTATCATGAATGAGAATGAAAATTTCATCATGTAACTTGAATTCATCTTCATCAATGTTAATCATGTAAATAGTAAATAGTTAACAGTTGATTGCTGAATAAACTAATCCAGTATCATCATGATTAAGGATTTTTTTTTCTTGTTCATCTTTAATCATCTTCATCATGATTGTTTATCAATTCCCAAGTGATTATCATTGTTATGTACAAATAACATTGAGACAATTAAATCAAGTATATTAGTTGATTGAATTGATACTTGGTATTGTTGGTCAAGAGGATCAAGATGATGATAAGATGTGGTTATTTATATGAAGACCAGGATGATGATGATGATGATGATCAAGTGTGTTGATCATCACAATGATCAGCAAAGTAAATTGTATTTATCTAACTCATCTTATTCATCTTAATATATACATTTAATGTGAATTGCAATCAAGTCCAATATCAACTTGATTAACTTGATTAAATTAAATGGTATAAACAGTTAACGTTACACTTTCAATTGTAATGATCGTAAACGTTAGTTAAGCAAACAATTAAACTATTGTTTTCCAACATATAATGAGATCCAACAATCAAACAATACACATATTATAAACCCTAAAGGAGTTAATCATGATCATTATAACCTGCAATCGATAATCAAGTTAACCATTGATTGATTGATTTGCCCAAGTTCAATTGATTAATCTTTGTGTTTCTATTTTCTTGCATAATTAGACAGAGTAATTAAATTGTAATCACCTTCAAGTCATATAATATATTTAGAATCAAAATGTTATCAATGATTGGATTGTAGTAAAATCAATTGATTGCAATCAAATTGAACACAACCAAAACAACATAAACCATTACTTTTTGAAAGGTAAACATTTTATCATGACAAAAATGACCATCATGAAGATAAATAGACAAAGAGAGGGAGAAAGAAAGAGATGAAGATAAAGATGATGATGAGGATTTATTGATAATCTAATCTTGACTGGTCTTAATGATGATATGAGATGATAAAAGATGAGGTCGTACTTACTATTAAGTCACACAGTGTGAGTATATCAGGTAAGTCTCAGTCGGAGTCTTATCATTTTCTGCCTCCCTCAGCAGTAGCTTATCCTCATCATCATCCTTCAGCCTTCCGGGGCTTTCAGAGGGTCACCCACCGCCCCTCTTGATATATATACATATCCAGAGAGAGAGAGAGAGAGAGAGACCACCTTACACCAAGTGAGTCAATTTCTTGCTTGGATAATCCTATTTATCCTTAATACTATTTCTGGGTTAAGCTTAAATTTTGGGTTCCTACTTTATTTTTGTTTTTCTCATTTCAAGTTTAAGGTTTTAATACAATTTGCTTGGTTGGAAAACATAATTCCCATCACTATCAGTATCATGAGTATCATCATCATCATCATCATCATCTTCATCATCATTATCATCACAATCATCTACAGACAAACATGTATATTTGGCTTGAGCTTTTTTCTTTCTCATTCCAATTGAAACTCAACTTGCAACTTAATCCAATGAGTAGATTTACTTGGAATCAGTAAAAGGATCAAACTTTGTTATCAACTAATAAGAAAGAGGCTTTGACAATTTATCCTCATCCTTATCATCATCATTTACTTTCTCTCATTCTCTCATCATCTTCCATCTTCATCTTTAAGTTAAGGCGATTTGGTTATGTAATATAAAGTCAATTTCATATAATCATCATTGAGATTTGGTTAAGAAAAATTTTCTCCATTTATTATTATTATCAACTCAATATAAATAAATGATGATTATTAATAATGACAATTTAAAAGTTGAATCAAAAATAAACCACAATCAGTATCATCTTGAGGATAAGCAATTAATTAAAATAGTTCTGGTTAATCAAGATGATCATGATAGTGAAAGATTAACATGAAAGTTTCAATTTGATTTAATGACATTCACTGTTTGTGGTAATTTAAGTTGTTTGTTGTTAGTTAATTTCAATTGAAATAATCCCAATGATTACCGTTATTATCATCATCAGGTTTTCATGTTAATCTAATTTACCTCAACAATTTAAATCACATTGGCACTTGATTCAATGAGATCAAAAGATTTCAGGTCAATCTATAAGGTTAATCGTCATAATTAATTGTTGGTAATCCAGTTGAATCCGTCTACAGAATCACAATCAGTTGATTATAACTTTCGATTACTATTAAACCAATGGTTGATTGTTAATAAATCAACAAGATCAATTTGATTAAATATGAAATATACAAAATTAAAAGTTCATCTGATAATAAGAGTTGATAAAGTTTCATCATGATGAATAATGATTTATATTTAATATCACTTTTCAATCTGTTAACATTGATAATATTGACTTTAATGATTAAGTCTTGAATGATGATGAATTTTTAAAAAACCCCTCAGGCAATTAGAGGATGATGAAAAAATAATGATCTTCAAGATGAAGATAAAGATGAATCCAGAATATTATCATCATCATTTCCTATTATTATTATGGTTCTTGTCGTTATCTCATCAATATCAATCATTGACAAGAAAAAGTTTCATATGATTAGTAAATTGTTGTAGGGCAATTGTTTTAATCTTGATTGTTACAATCAATTAATTATTTCATCAGAGTAAATGTCAACACAGAGAGACATGCAAAGATAAAGGGACAAACTAAATTGTGACAAAACAACAACAATTTAAATATCACAATCAAAGTTGATGGTAAATTGTTGTGGATGAAAAAATCAAAATCAATTTATTAAAGTTAATCTAATACAAGGTTAGTTAATTATGATTAAGATTAGTTAATCATTTTTAACAAATACAATGACATTTAACCTTAATATTGATTAATGATTTAAAAACCAGAAACTAAATTAAATTGTTAATCACGAATTGAATCATCAACGTTTTCGTCGTGATTAATAATTAGTTGATTGGCAGGTTAACAGTTCTTGGTTAAATCATCATCGTTATTGTATTTAAATTGTTGATAATTGACAAGACAATTTAAATTGTTTCCATCAAATCAAATGGCAAACCAAATTATCAACTCTCTGGATGTAAAGTTTTTTTTTTCAAATTGTTACAATCAGTTAATTGGTGTTAAAAGTTAATTGTAATTGATTGAATCTTTATAATGAGACAATGAAAATTAAGTAACTTGATTAGTTGATTGTTAATACATGAAGAGGTGTTAACCACAATCGTGATTAACCAATTAATTTGTAATCAAAACTCAATAACTTTTTTTTTACAATTTGATTCATTGATTTAATCATCGTTAGGATTTAACAATTTACCTTACGGCAAAGTTAATTACATTACAATCTATTATGTAATTAACTAGCTTTAAATTGTTAGAAATTATCACTTAATGATAATTAACAAGGAGTGAAAAGGAAACAAACAAAACAAACTTTAAAAATTGTAACAATCAATTAATCAATTTAAATCAATCATCATCATTATTACAATTTATTAGTTTCAATTAGATTAACCTAGTAAGAAATGGTAACAATTAGCTAACTGTCAATCTTAATTAACAGTTAATCATGATTAGTATTATACATTAAAGAAGCAAATTGATTAGTGGGGAAAAAAATAATCAACTAATTGTAAAAAATTTCACAATTTCAATTGAGTTAATTGTTTCAACTATTAATAAAAATCAACAAACATTAACAATAAAATCAACAACAAGTTACACTGTGTAATTTAATTGTTGTTGATTGTTAAGTCAATGGTGATTTATTTTCTCAATGTCCATTTCATTTAATTGTCCAATATTTACTTTTGATTATGATCAACAAATGTTAACCAAAAGTAAACAATTAACTTGAATTAAAACCAGAAGTAAATAGTAAACCAATAACTTGATTCATAACAAATCAAGGGAAACAAAAAAAAACACAATCAGTTGATTATATTATTTTGATAATAATAATAACCATCATCATGGTCATCATAATGATTAACTGGTAATAATAACCTTGATTAACCTCTGGAATTAACTTGTATCATGATTAAATATATATAAACATGTATAGTTAAACATTTTATCACCAATATTAGTTATCTCATCAGCAGTAACAACACAAAAAAAATGATGTATTAGCTTATGAGTCTATGTGTGCGTTATGGTTTATTGATGATGAAACATTTATCCTCATCACTTTCATGAGCATCCTCATCTCACCTGTAACACTAAGGGAAAAAAAGATAACAGTACATTAGATTATCTCATAATAATAAATAATAGTAACTCAACAAAGGTAAAGGTAATTTTTTCCATGGGAAAATATTACTTTTTTTTTCCTCAAGAATGTCAACCAAATGACCATCGATCTAGAAGAAGAAGGAGAAAAAAAAATGTTCACCTTTTGATACAAATCTTATTCTTACATCATCAATGAGATGAAGATGAAGAGATGATAATAAACATTTACATTTACCTATTTAGTTTTCATTACCTTGACTCTTCATAACTTAATACAAACGCTAACCTTGTCCTTGGAAGGGAGGGAGAGAGCGAGAGAGAAAGAGAGAAATTCTATTTTCCATCATCATCATCATCATCATCTCTCCATCTTCATCCTCATCATCTTTTGCATCATGATTTATGGATAACAATAGATGTTCAATGTACACTTACACTTTTTTCTACCTTTTCTTTGGATACTATTAACCAAATACACTTACCTGGTTTTACTTTGATCTCTTGTATTAATATATATGAAAGAGAGGATTAAAGGTTAATCTTGGTTTTATATTATTCATCATCATCATCTTTTAGTGCCACATGGATAGAGAGTGGGTCAGGTCATGTTGGTCAATCTGAAGAGAGAGAGAAAAAAATTCTATCAAATTAATAAACACATAACATTGACTTTTCATTATGAATTTAAATTATTTCTTTATCCACTAAGATTATAATTCCTTCATTGGGTTAATACGATTAAACAACAATTTAAGAGCTTCTGATTATTATTATTATTATTATTGTTTACTATTGTTCAACAATCAAATAATAATAATCAAATACTATCAATATGTTACATGATAATATATTTACTTGATAGAAACAGGTAACATCTATTATCATATGAGTAATGGGAAAAGGACATGATTCATAAACGTTGTTTCAGATTATTTTGATTGTTGTTATTTGGATAATAATGATGGTGGATAATTAACTTAATTAAATTGAATTAAAAGTAACACAACAAAAAATCTAAAGTCAAGGTTAATGGAAGTAGTAATAATTTTAACAATTGGTTAATTGTTACCTGAACCTCAGATAAACAACAACCAATAATCAACAGTTACCTCACCTTTTAAACCAAAACAATTGTAATAATAGTGGAAATATGATTAATAAACAATTGATTTTGATGGTATGTGAGTGAAGAAAAAGATAACAATTAAATTTCCAATTGTAAGATTAACCAATGATTAAAAAAACGGGATACGCTTGTATGGATATAGTAGATAAGGTAAATTGATTGATAATTGGTTAGGTTGATCAATGAGAGCAAAAAATAATCATAACGATCGAGTTGATTGATATAATCTCTCCTTTCCGGTGATCATTATCATTGAAATCAGTTGATTGTTTCACCTAAATTCCAATGGTAAAAGATGAGAATCTGTAGTAAAAAGAGAGAGAGAGAGAAAAAAAAATAACAATGAGAAAAACATGTAATACAACAATCGCTTTTTTTACTTACAATCAGTAAATTAGGTTTGATGAAGCGTGTTTCCAATTGATGTGTTTAATGGTTAATAGTGATCAATATGGAGGAAAGAATCAAGATTAATCAGTAGAAATATAGTTAATAATGGAAATTAAAGCAGCAAGAGAACACACAATAAGCTAATAACAAAATTGTTCCGATGTATATGTGTGTGTACCTGAAAAGGAAAAAAAATTTTCACGGATAAATGGTTTACTTTACCAGGCCTTAAAAAATTGACGCTAAATTGGCCTGACTTACGTATATATACATAACTAAATCTAATCTAACAATCAAGTGTCTATGACCTTAAAATAGACTCAATCAAGCATCATCATCATCATTAACATCATCAGTTGTTGTTACCATTACCAATTGTTGTTATTTGTTATCATCATCATAATCAAGGGATCGCAAATGAAACAAAACAACATCGGGACAATCAAATTTGTTATGAAACGGTAATAATCATATTCCTATTGAAAATCAATTACCTTAAATTTTGTTTTTTCTTCACCAGATGATAATGATAATGATGATGATGATATATGATGGAGATAAAAATTATGTATATGTTAACAACGGGAACGGGAGGAAACGATCAGACCATGCAATTGATATTGAATGAATATGTAATCAAATTGGTTTGGAAAAACTATCATAGACACTCAGGAAATTTTGAATAACTTATTCACACTGGAAAAGAAAAGAAAAATATAAAAAAGAATATAATAAAAAGGGAACAGAGAATAGAATAAGAAGAGAAAGATATTGATGAGGATGATGATGGTGATGGAGAGAAAAAGGAAGATATAAAAGGAGAGAAGATGAAACATTTTCTTTTTTTGAGTAACCATTTTTCACGCTAATGTGTGAGTGTGTATCCATTTCTCTCTCTTTATCTCTCTCCTCTCTCTCTCTCTCTCTCGATTGTATTATTCTAATACCTTATGTTTGCTTCTTTGACCTGGTTTACCTTGAATATCTATGGAAAAAATAATAAAATGATAAAGCATAAGATACACACACACATGGATATACATGTATGTGCATGAGATTAGTTTTCTTACTCTGGGTTGTATCACAAAGATACAAAACTTGTTGTAGTTTTTACTATTCTAAAGGTAGTCAAGTTGTTGTTGTTGTTGTTGGTTATGATTCAGGTAATCCGTGTGTATCCATAGTATCTAATACATTGGAGGCTCTTTTTTGTTGTATTATCTTTCGCTCCTTCTCTATCAGTACATGGTACATTAAATCAGCATAAATGATTACTGAGGTGAAGAAGAAGAAGAAAAAAAAGAAAAGGTAAGTGAGTGTGAGTATTAAAAATGCCACTGGAATAACAATTGATGGACAATTGAGTGTAAAAAAGAAGAGAAAAGAAGACAAACTATTAAAAGGTTAAATTTTACCTTTTTTTCCTCTTCTTTTCTCTTCCATATATTCCTTATCCTTTGTCCTTTGTTTGACGTTTTTTTGTCTCCGTTGTTGTTGTCATCGTCATCATCATAGCTGTTTGTGTGTGTATCGTTGTCGCTGTTCCCGTTGGACTCAACCTAGAAAATAAGAGAATAAGAAAAGAGAATTTAGATTTTCTTCAGGTAGAAAGAGAGAGGGAGAGAGAGAGAAGGAACGGAAAACTCTATGGGGTTTCTCCTTGGTCTTTAACCTTTGGTAATTTCTTTAAGTGACCTTTTCTCTCTCTCTCTCATACCAAGTTAACTTTTTACCTTGTGTCCAGTTGACATTAGAATACACAATCAATGGACTGATAATCAATAGGGATTTCACTTTACTTACCTTTTCTTTTTTTTCTCTTTCAGTTTCTAACTTGCTCCTTGTTTTGTCTCTTTCATTTTAATCTTTTCTGTTCCTTTTCATTTTCTATCGTTTTCCATCTTCAGTACTATTTGGTTCGTCTATTTCTTTTTTTCTTTTGTAAAATTCTCAATCCGAAGAAACTTTTACCTTTATTGTTTACTTTGTTATCTTGTTGTTGTTGTTGTTGTTACTCCTTAAGCTTGATCATCATCAGTGGAGGTTCATCATCATCTTCATTCAATAAGAATGTGTCACCATTGAATTTAACCATTTTCCCTTCATTTTCATTGAACAGTAACGACCAATACCCAAAGCAAATTCTGCAAGAAAAAAAGGAAACACTTTTTTTTCTCTTCAAATTAGAAGAGAAAATAAAAGAAAAGAAAAAAACAAGCCAAGTGAAGTCCAAGGGAAGAAGAGAAAATGTTAAGCTGGGATATTATGGTTGTGAGATTAAAACGGATGATGATTCCAGTTAGAAAATCAGAGAAGAGAGAGAGAGAGTGAGATGACAAGAGGAAACGGAGATGACAAAGAGAGAGAAAGAAATAGAGAAAAAGAGAAAGTAAGAGCCAAAAAGAAGATGATAAAATAATTGGGATGAAAGAATCACCAATATGAGACCTAAAAGGAAAACATAGAGAAGAGAGAAAAATGTTACACTTTTAGAAAAGAATCACAAATTAACAAGTTGACCAACGCTCTTAAGATGATGACAATGTTAATCCAATAGAAAACATGGACTAATTAATCTTAACACTATTTCCGCAAAGAATAACAGGAAATCCAATGGCTAAAGAAAAGAAGAACAATTCAGTTAATCCAATTCGCCTCTAATCCGAACCATATTTCTCTAAATCTATTACATAAGAGAAAAGAAAATAAAAGAAAAAGTGACCAAGATTCTTTTGTTCCAATGTGTTAATCCGTTCGCCATTTTAATCCATTTCTTTGAGGAGACAAAAGCGGGAGAGACAAAGATTATCCTTCAAGAGAAGATGATGTAACTTTGAGAGAGAGAGAGAAAAAAAGGAAAGACTCTTCTTCCTTTCGGATGATAGAGAGCGTGGCGAAAGAAGAAGATGAAGACCAGAAAATTGTTCTCTTTCTCAATGTTACAGTTGCGAATGAGAAAAGCGACAGAGAAGAAAAGAAAGAGAATAGAAGAAAATGGTTACTAGGGGTGGAAAAGGGAAAAAAGAAAATCGGGAGAATAGAAAGAGAAAAGAAAGAGAAGGCGCAGTTTCTCTGCTCCCTCGCGAGAGAGAAAATCAGGTTTACAAGGGAAGTTGAACTTCTGTCTATCATTTGCAATTTTTTCTTCTCCAAGTGCAGGTAACAAATTTTTCTAAACTTTTTGTTGACTGTTTTTGGAATTTTTTTCTTTTCTTTTTCTTACCTTTCAATTATTTTCTTCTCTCTCTCCCTCATCGTGTAATTAATAACATTTTCTTTTCTACTAATTAATTTATTCTTTTCTCTATCTCTGTGTGTGTGTACATTTCCTAGAGGAAACAAGTGAAAAATTCTAAACTTATCAAATAGAATTTTTTATATTTTCTATTCTCTTTCTGGATTATAAACAACAAACTTCTTCGCTCTTTGTGTTCATCATCTTCATCTTACAACAACAATTTTTTACTTCTTCTTCCATCTTCATCTCTCTGGTCAATCACATCAACTTTCAATAATCTTTTTTATTAGTCAAAATGGAAATTTAATTGTTGTTACTAAGCCATCATCATCTTTTTTTCATCTCTAAAATCAACAACATTATCTCTCTCTCTCTTTCTCCTAAATCATTGGATTCAACTCTTTCTTATCTTTCTTTGTTTCGGATTTTCTTATATTTGTGTTTTATCTTATTCTCATCTTAAAGTTTGATATCTTTCTTTTTGATTAATCTGTATTTCAAATCTCCAAGAGACCAGAGAGTTAACTTTAAATCCGTTGGCCCTTTTTTGTTTCATCTTCCATGTTGATATTTTAGCTGTTTTCTTTTTCTCATCTTAACAACAGAAGAAAAAAAAAGGAGAAAATTCATCAACGTCTTGATTTTTTTTTCTCGGGTATATCTCATTCTATCATTTCTATCTGGATTATTTACAAATACACATTTTCTCATTCATGTGAAGTGAAAGATATATCATCATCATCATCGCCATTTTCATCTCTGATTACCATTAATTTCCAGCTACGACTTGTATTTCAAAAAGAATAAGAAGAAAAGAGAAAACAAAATTATAGATTGTTCTCTTCTTCCTATGATAACATCAACATCTAATAGATAATTTTCATATTCTTTTGTGATGATGACAATTGTGTGAGTGTCAATGTTTACTAAGGATTAACCAGTTTAAGTTATATTTTCACAGTTATGGATAAATTTGGATAAATTTGGCTCTTATCAATCAATACACTTAAACTTGTAAACACTGTTTACATCTCATCCTCCCGATCATCTTTTTCTCTTCAATACAATTTTCTTTGTCATAATCTTTCCTCTTTTTTTTTCTTGATATAAAAATTCAACTTCTCGCTTCATCATACAGCAAATTCCATCTTCTCCTTACTTTTTCTACGGTGAAGGGGATCACCTTTACCAGGGAATGTCCTGTTCATCATCAACAATTTGTTCCCATTTATCGTTACCCTCTTGCTCTTCATCTTCTTCCCGTTCATCTGATTCCTACAAAGATGTTAAAACCATGTTTATAGCCAGAGACATTCAACACACTGGTACCTTACAACGTGATCATCACTCTCATCATCAACTTCACCACCAGCAACAACAACACCAACAACAACAACAGCAACTACAAAATCAACACAATACCTCCTCGTGTAAACCACCAATTTGGACAGTGGCTTATTCATCAGCGACACCCTTAGATCCCCACCATCACCATGGTGGGTCACTTTACTTTGATCCAGCAACATTGAATAGGCAACATCTCAGAAATCATCATCACAACAATGTAAACCTTATGATGGTTAGTTTAACTTTTTTTTTTACTCTTCCACACACTTCCAACCAAACAACCCAATTCCTCCTTGATGTAGCAATTAATAAATTGCTACATTTTTCTGACTCCATGTCTCAACCATTATCAACGCTCAATTAATTTTCGCTATTCTTTATCATTATTATTATTTTCTCTCTCTCTCTCTAACAGTTCAATCCTGGAGATATTAAAAGTGATCAAATTCATCATGTTGATGTCGATTCTAGTAGTTTCAATGCAAAAAGAAGATTAATATTTTTATGCTTATTCCCATTGTTATTTATCGCCGTCTTCCTTGCAGTATATCACGTAATCCATTTGCAGAAAGGTAAGACTTTTCTCTTCATTTCTTCTCAATTACATTCTAATTATTCTTACCATTATATTTGTCTTATTGAATTCTCTTTTTTTTTGCTTTTCCTCTATTGTTTTCTTCTAGATGTTTTCCTTGTCAATCCAAATGCAGTCAAAATGGGTCCGATGGATTTAGGCAATACAAATATGCTGAGCTCTCAGGAAAATTCTAATACTTTAAATAGTAATAATAGAAATAACAGAGATTCAGCTAAACATTTTCCTTTACACAATTTAACCAGAATAAGTGATTTACCAAATACCAGTGAATATGTAATCGGTAAGTCTTGTTTTTTTTCTCTCCTCTGGTTCCTACATCATTAACCATAATCATTATCATCATCATTCAATTGCTTATGTTACTGTAAATCAAAACTTCCATCATCATCATTAAGTTTACTGTTTTACTAATCTATGTTTTCTCTTATTTTTTTTCTTCTTCTCCATCTTATTATGTTCAACCGGAAATGTGGATGGACTTGATATCGTCTTGGTCTTGTTATGTTTTTTCTTTCACTTATCATCATTATCATCTTCTCGATGTCATCTTCTTTTACTTCTCTCTCTCTCTCAATATTTTTCCATAGATGGTTTCAAAAGTCATTTAGGGTCAACTGGAGACCATCAAGTTAACCGTCACAGGGAAAGGAAGACCATTGAAGCTCAATTCAGAGTTAGCAATAAAATGTACAGTCGCCAATTAAAAGATAGAGCTAGTGATGCCTTTCAAAAGCTTTCCTGGCTTATTAGTGAAAAGGTAACGTTGAATTAAACATCCTTAAAGAGGTCGAGTTGATGATAGAGTGTGTGTGAGAGAGTGTGTATGGTTACGATGAACATGATTTCATTCTTGAAAATAATTCAAGTATTTTACATGTAAAGACCAATCTTTTTTTCTTTCTCCTTTGCTCTGTGATGATTACACCTAATTCACGGCCATTCACTAATTCCTATTGTTCTTTTTTTTATCTTCTCTCTTCCACCTTCTTTTTCCTCCATTATCATCATCATCATCATCATCATCATCATCATCTCATTATTTTCTCTCATTCAATTTTATAACACTTGATTTTTTTGGTTTACTCTTCTTGCTATCTCACTCTCTCATTCACGCCCAAACACACACAAAAAAAACTGCCAATGATGAAACTTTTCTGTTGCTGATTAATTTTGATGGTTCGTGTTGTACAGATTAAATTATTAGTCAACTTAACTCGGTCACTATCGCCTCTTCAATTGGATAAAGTGGAACTCATCTCAGTGAGGAAAGGAGACAATCTCCGATACAATTTAAATGGAATCATTGTTGATTTAGTTTTACATTTTAATAGAGATGTTAATTGTTCACTAAACGAAATCGTCCTTAACCTAATGAGTGCCAAAAAGGATGGACTATTTACCGGATTAGATATTGATGAAAGGACAATACTTTTTAAATTCAAAGGTTCAAATAGTAACAACATAACTAATAGTAACAACAATAATAATAAAACTGGTCTAACAACAATAACATCATCATCAAGTGATAACAGTGATGGATCTGAAGTGGATGGTGGTGATCAAAGTGTTATTGATAAAAATCATAAAAATAATAATAATAATAATAGTGATCCAGAGGAGCCTGAACATCATCAATATAAGTGGGAGAGATGGTCCGAATGGGGACCAACATGTAAAAATGAAGCAGGCTCCTGTTCAGAGGAGAGAGTCCATTCAAGGACCCGTTATTGTTATGATAAGTTAAACCAATGGAGAGTTGATGATATTAATTGTATCAAAGTAACCCGATCTCAACATCAATCTCTTCAAATTGAAGATTGTGTCTGTGAAAAGACTTATAAGTGCTTAGAAAGTGAATGGCAGTGTTTAAATACCCAATGTATTCCTTTATCTAAAAGATGTGATGGCCATATGAATTGTTTTGATTCATCGGACGAGAAAAACTGTGATTGTGGTGAAAATGTAAGTTCCAATCATCATAATAACCTTTTTTTATATCCATTGTCTACTCTTTATCCTTTTCATCATAATCTTCTTGATGAACATTCCATATAAACAGAATTCTCGAAATGTTTTACATCAATATTCAGCTGATAGCTTCGATTTTCTTTATCCTCTTCATTCATTATTCTTAAATCTTTCGTCTCTGAGTTTTCCTTTCTCTCTCTCTCTCTCTCTTTCTCTGTCGATTTCTAAGCCATTCCACCCCGAGAGAGAAAAAAGTCCATGAAAAAATAGGACGAAAATATCAATTCTCTTCAATCAGAATTATCGCCTTCATTCAACCATTATCAATATTATCAACACTATTGTGTTGATCTCTTTGATTTCTCTCTCTTACTTGATAATGATTTAGGTCTAATTTAGTGCATTTGAGACGTTCATTGAAAAAACTTTACCAATGTGTTAACTGATGCATGAGGCTGATGATTAAGAGCAATTGGTTGATGAAAAAAAAAAAGATTCTGATTGATAACCTAAATTCTGAGGAAATTGATGATAATGATAATAAAGCAAATAAATTGCGATGATTGAAAACATTCACACTGATTATTCATTAGATTATGTATTTAAGTTTAGAATGAAAGAAAGATGCAAGTTAAAACAGAAAGAGAAAGGGTTTCATTAACCAATTTACTTTTTTCCTGTAAGGTAACATGATGCTAATTAACTAGTAATATTACTTAGATACTAGTATTCTTGAACTTGAGTTATCTTCTTTGGAAATTGAAACCTTTTCTTTCTACCTTTCCCTCTATGTCTTTTTATCATCAACATCTCTCTTTCCGCCTTGATGATAAAATAAGAAGATGAAAATCAAGAAAATAGCTTTGTTATCTGAGACAGAGGAAGGTGAAATATTTCACAAGACTGTATCCCATGTCTTTCTTATCATGCATTCATATTATGCTCATTGTATTTATCATCATCATCTTCTTAATCATTGATATTACAGTTGTAACTGTATTACATTTAGAGGGGTGAAGGTTTTAACACTCAGTGGGAAATTTTTCTTCACTCCTATTTGCCTCTTTCTCTTTCTCTCTGTCTTTTAAAATGGACGATGGCCAAGTATCCATTTATTTTCACTGCCAAGAATCTGAGTAATCTTCAATAGCTCTCATGCTATGATAATAACAACAACTATCTTATATCTCTAATGATAAAATAACAATTGTTTGCGTCAGCGGAAATTTTAGTTTCGTTATTATTGTTAACAGTGTATATTTTTTGCTTTGTTTTCCTCTCTTACAAACTCATTTACCATTTACCACTCTCCACTATGACTCTCATCCACTCTTTCATTTTCATCTTCATCATCTCCTGTTGCTCTTCTTCCTTCACTAATAATATTAATAGACAGTAATAAATATAATAAGATGAATTCAAGAAATTTACTCAATGTAAACACCAATTAGCTCAACAAGATTGGAACATATCTCTTTCCTTTTGTTTTTCTGTTTCTTTTTATCTCCCTCCCTTTCTCTCTCACTCTCTCACACACAAGTAAATTCTGTTATATTTCATTCTATTGCCCATCACCATTGTAAATCATTTCTGTGAGTCTTCAAACATTTTCACAATTTTTGAGAAAAAGTTAACTTTTTCTCACTTCTATTCCAATGTGTGATTCATGTCGCTCCCTCATCTTGTTTCTACTCATCCCAACGATAGTCTCAACTATACTGACTGAGTCTCTCTCTCTCTCTCTCTCTCTCTCTCTCTCTCTCTCTCTCTCTCTCTCTCTCTCTCACTCAATATATAATTAAAATTATCTCTGAGAAAAACAGAAACAATTGACTATCTAAAACTTTACAATAGCAATAAGATTATCCTCTCAATATTTTATTATATTTGTCAATAAACTGTCAAGTTTTTCTTCATCTTCTTTGTTTTTTACTCTCTCACTACTTAAGATTTCATTTTTATCCTTAACACCAATATCTTCTCACCTATTCGATATGAAGACTTTGATGGTTCATGTACCATTTGTTTTTAGTATTAATATAAGTAGTTTTTTTACTCAGCAAGCATAAAAAAGTACCTTTACCTTGGTCACTATGTTTAACCTTGTATGTTTACTCTTCTCATCTTCAATCTTCATTTTTTATCCTCTTCTCATCATGCTGATAATCAAATTGACTTAAACTTTTCAATTTGGGATTTATTATATGACCTGGCCTACTACAGTGAAAAGCATAATGAATAACTGGCCTGGGCCATACCCTTTCAGTATTTATATTGTTGTTGCAGTTGGTTGAGTTTATGCAACATCATCATCTTTTTTTCTTCATCCTCATCATCATCATCCTTCCATCATCTTGTTTTCATCTTTTCCATAAAGTCAGTCAAGTTTTTAAAAAAGTTGTTTAAGTATCTCTTTCTCTCTCTCTTCCTCTCATCATTCTCTTTCTTTTTTTCTCTCTTTATTAGTCCTCAGGTGGAGAGTGGTTTATATTTAATTCTTAGGCCATTTTTTGGCAGTTTTATCGGGCGGGCTATAAAAACATGTCCATAAACATTGAAGTTTAGCCTTTTTGATTGTTACAGACCGACCTTTATCTTCATCATCATTATTACATTATTCTCTCTTTCTCTTTCTCTCTTCTTGCATCATTTTTATTATTATTTTTCATCTTTTCTCCTCCTGATGATGATCTCCTTAACGTTCTTGTTAATCTTTTAACTTTATGCTCAACCTTTACTTCATCATTATCATCATCATCATCCTGTTTCTATTCTTTTTCTCCATTGCCTCTTTCTCTTTCTCTCTCTTTCTATTTCATCTTCTTCCTTACGAGTATATTTCTCATCATTGCTCTTTTTTTGTATGAATTTTTTGTTATACATCATGATGATAAAATGATGATGAGCGAAGATATAAAATCAAGAAAGTAAAGGCGTCCTCACTTTTAGATATCTAGATACAATTAAACCTCTTAATGATGATTGTTGCCTACTATTTATTCATGTTAATCAAATTAAGATGAATCTTTGATAATAATGATTATGTGAAGTGAAAATAATATATTATCATTAGGAATCATTGTTATAACAATAAAAATGATAATATCTCTCTCTCTCTCTTTCATCGTCTTGCATCCCAATTAATGAAAAAGGAGGATGAAGAAGATATCTGAGTATCCATCTTCCATAGTAATCGAAAGCAATTATTTACTTCTATTTTCCGGGTGTGTTTCTTTTTTTCTCTCAACAAAATGAATCGTCTCAGAGAAAAAAGGAGATAAGATGCTAAGGGGACACATAGAAACTTTGACTAAATTGACCTTTATCATCTTCTTTATCGTCCCTGATTCATTGTCCATCTACCCATTGGTTCATCACTCTCGATCCTCTTTCTCTCTCCTCTTTTTTTACTACCGACCATTAACTGGTCCCTCGTCTCTATGGTATTTATAAATGTTTGTTACTCCCTTAGATTTTGATTAAGAGTTACAGTAATCAATTAATTGATGTCCATCATTGTAAATCAATGACCTTGTTTTATAATTTAGCAATTTTCTTCTTCTTCGTCTCTCACTCATCCTCTCTCTCTAACACCCAATTGTCGTCAATTTTTAGTTTGACCTCAATGAAGGGAGGGATCGGTGTCCTTATCTTCCATCACCACTCCTTCAATATTCAACTCTCTCTCTCTCTCTCTCTCTCTCTCTCTCTCTCTCTCTCTTGACATTTTTGTCTGTACTTGGTGAATGGAATTCTGATTGATAACTCAATGTATTAGAACTTTTTTTGCTCTCATACTGACCTTCATCTTCTTCATGACATTTATTTATATTCAGTATTTTCTTGATTTTCTTTTCTTTTTTTTCTCCTTTTTGATTATGATGATATATTCCTGCTCCCACCTCTCATGAAATTGTTGATAATTATGTCATAATAATTAAATCTTTTTATTCTTTTCAATTTTACAGGAAATTCATTGTGGACAGAATACTTCATGTATTGCAATAGAAAAGAAATGTAATAACGTAACTGATTGTTGGGATAATAGTGACGAAACAGATTGTGCAGGATACGTTGATTATGATTAACAGAAAAAAAGGAGATCAACTTGAAAATCCACCACGATATTCACACACACACACAAATACACTCACTCATTCACAAGAAAGTCTTCAAAAATTGATAAAAAATGTAACCACCATGCAAATGAAAATGTAAATTATTGTTCAAATGACGAAACAGAAAAAATGATCTTGCCTTTTTTTGAAAATAATTAATGTAAATAGTTTCTATTACTTTTTAATTAAATACTCTTTTTTTCATGTTAACTTTGATTACAAACTAATTTCAAGATTAAAATTGATTGTTAATCAGCTGAACCATAAAAAGGTACAATTAACAAGAATTTTGTCAACAAAATGTTCTAATGGTGGGAAGAGACATCGAGTAACATACTCGTCAATAGATCAACATGGAAAAATGTATTGATCCATTTTCCAAATGATCGACCTCTCCCATTCTAATAACTACTTCTACCCACTCTCTCACTCCCTCTCTCTCTCTCTCTGTTTCTCACTCTCATTGAGAGATTTCAACCACTCCTGAGGTGGAAAAAGAAAAGTGAAACAATTGATCACCATAGAAACGAGAGAGTGAATAACATTGGAAAGAAAAAAAAATACGATTATTTTCAATTTCGAAAGAAGAAAAAAACTAATTAACCTTCATTTCTTGTTGAAAAATTTCAAGTCTAATTAATTGTGATAAATTAGAGACAAATTGTTGTTGTTGGTTAAACAGGTCAATTATTATCATAATGATTCCATGTGGTATATGAATGGACATCGGTCAGTTCAACAAATACCAATTTATGTCGAAACCTTTTCTGGGACAACCTTTGAGATCCAAATATTACCTCAAGAAACAATTTATTGTCTTAAGATGAAACTCCAAGAAGACGAGGGTATTCAAGCAGTAAGTTTTATCTTCTTTATCTTCTTTATCTTCCTGTCCTCTTCCTCTGTCACTCTCTCTACGGTTGAGCCATTTTATTGTCGCTCTTTGATTTTGGAGGAGGAAAAAAAACAAGACTCAGGGTGGAAACACTCACATAAGGCTAATGTGAAAGACTATGGATCATCTGGTGTAGCTTCCGCTCGGTGACTTAAATAATGTTAATACATCATCATCACCTTACACACTTATTATCATCATCATCCTTATTACCATGATGATGATAATGATGATCATTATCGTTGTAATATTATCACTGAAGGAAAAGACAACATGTGAAAGTTGATCAACTGTGTTTACAGTACACGGACTTTTGCGGGGATGGACCAAGAGAAATGGTTTTTAAATGATCTCTGCCACGAGTATGATGATAAGGATGATAAGGATGATGAAGATACACTTAATCAACCCACTAAATTATTATTATGAACCAAAAACTATTCAACTCTATCAACCAGAGGCAAAAGTGGATTCCCTTAATCACCATAATCTACAATCATCATTGAAGTCGCAAGAGCAAAAGAGACTCAAAGAGAGAGAGAGAGAGAGAGAGAGAGAGAGAGAAGTTTTTATGATGAAGATGAGGAAGATGAGGAAGATAAGGGAGATGAGGATGTACCATGTTGAAGGCTGATGATGACGATGATGAGATGAAGATGACAGGAAGCAGTTAATATCTTTTTCTTTTTCATCTTTTTTTCTAGTCAATTCTGATTCTCAGGTTTATCTTCATCTTCATCTTTTATTTTCCTTTTTTTTTCATCTTCTCATCCTGATGATAATAAAACAACAAGAGTAGGAGGATAATGTCAATATAAAGCCATTGATGATAATCAGATGAAAGAGTTAAAAATTATCCTTAATTAGATTGTATTATCTTTTGTAAAAGATTAACTCAGGTTAATGATTGATGATGACTGATGATTTATATAAGATGATGAAGATAACTGTCAAATAGTGTCTTGTAATTAACCATAGGTATTGATTAACTTTCTTGCCTAACAATTGTTACCATTGTTAACTAACATCTACTGAAAGTTAATCATCATAATCTTGATGAATTTTTGTTTCTCTGGTAAAACACAATTAAAAAGCAACAATCAATTACATTGTTTTAATTATTTCAACTGAAACACAATCAGAACCTAACATTAACCACAGTTATTTTTACCAATCTCCAGCTCATCATCTGGTTAATTGTTTAAACCTTGATGGTTACTAGTTAACTGATTGTGGTCAGATTACAATTAGAGTCTCATATTTTTGTTAGTATTTGAGATTGTGTTTTCAAAAATCCTCTCCAATGCAATTAAATTAAATTACTATCATCATAATTATGATGATGTTGATGGTGGTGGTTGAGTTATGATAACATTGAGAATGATTAAATCATGGAAATCAAATTTCAAAATCAAATTACAAGATTAAAATTAATGATTGAACCTTTTAACTACAGTTATTGGTTGATTGTTGTTGTTGTTGTATATCATTGGGAATTTAATTTAATAATCAAAATTATTATTATCGCATTATCTTGGTGTATTTTTACAAGGTCTCTCTCCCACCGGTCACCCCACTGACCAGAGAGAGAGAGAGAGAGAGAGAGAGAGAAAATATTAATGTTTCCTGTTTCTTCAAATGAACATTAAATTTCATGATAATGTGGAAGAAAAATTTTCTCAATCTGATTATTTAACTTTAATTAACTTTCTGATTTTATCTTACAATTTATCGCCCACCCCATAGTCTCAACAGCATCTCATCTGGCAGGGAGAGGAATTGAAAGATGATTTAACCCTGGAGGAATATGGAATAGGATTCGGAGCTATATTGAGACTCGTTCTACAATTACGAGGTGGACCTTTAAACCCACCGATTCAATTGTCCTCATCGAACCCTGATAATCAATCAGATAACCTTTTCCACTATTCTAATAACATTTTAACTCGTTCATCAACTGATGATGATGAAGATTCTGGCTGTCCAATTGTTGGACAAGATGATGGTAATTCACAATTAACCAATGGAATCGTAATATTTCAAGATGGAAATGAGATTAAAATGTATTCACCTGGTAAACAACGGAGATCACAGGTCACTACAGGGACGGATGATCGATCCAGCATTGGATCAGCTGATCCTTTGGGTATGATAACAACGGAAAGTTTGATTGATAAAGCTCGAGCCAGTGAACAACGTCAAAGGGAAAATGATGCCCTTAGGGTGAAAATGAGAGAGATACAAACAAAGATGAAATCATTGGCTCTGAAAAGATGTAAAAATTTACCTGGAACCAATTTAATTAAATTACCTTTGATTGTAGATAACAATTCACACGGGCTACCACCTTTAACCTCATCAACCTTGACCACAGCACCGAAACTAATCACCAATGGATTGGATGGAGATACAATTAAAACACCAGGATTAACTTTCCCACCGTTGCTAACAAAATCTACCACCACCACTACCACCATATCATCATCTTCTTCATCTTCATTATCTTCTTTATCATCTTCTTTCAAGTGTCCGGTCACTTTGTCACCTTTGGTTAAAAATTGGGACCTTCCGGTTGAACAACAAGAGAAACAGGAACTTCGTCGAGCCCAATCAAAGTTAATTGAACAATTAACTCGAAAAAATTATCAATCAAAACGATTCTCTGGTAATATGATTCGCCGGAGATTTTCAATTCAAGGAATTAACTTTAATCATCATGAAACAATTAACTCATCGGGTTTATCTTCATCATCACCTCCTTCAGCTTTAGTGGTCAAGCTGGATGATAATGATGATGATGACCAACGACCCAAGACAAGTCCTTTTATCAAATTAAATGAAGATAATTGTTCAACACTGTTGGTTAACCAATCTAATTGTTCACAGTTATCATCGCAACCTTTAATTAATGGACAGTCCAAGATCAACAATACACTTGAAGATAACAATGATTATCAGCAATTGTCAACATCATTAATTGATCAATCTACTAATCAATCAGCTGATCAATTGAAATCAATGAGTCGTAAAGGGTCAACCAATAATTTGACAATATCCAAAATTGATCAATCAAAATCTGAACCCAATCAAGGTAAGTTCAGGAAGGAATCACAATTAACTAATAAGACGAAAAGTAAAACTTTACCACCGGTGGGTAAAAGTAAATCAAAGACAATCAATGGAAAATCAAAGAACCGTTGTTTCACTTGTAATAAACGACTTGGTTTAGCGACCAAATATGATTGCAGGTAAGTTAATTGTCTTAAAAATGACAATAATTAACAATCGAATCCCTAATTGTTAACAACAACAATTTCTTTTCTCTCTAACAATTAACTTTATATTTTTCTTTAGATGTGGACAAATGTTTTGTACTGTCCATCGATACTCTGAAGCTCATGATTGTAGTCATGATTATAAATCAGAGGGAAGACGATTAATTGCTCTTAATAATCCGGTGATTAAAGCACCCAAATTACCAAAGATTTAAATTGTTCCCCATTAATTGTTACCTTACTGTTTCTGGTTTCTCTTGGTTTACTGATCATCTCGCTCTCTATTTCCTTCAATTACCAATGGTTTTATTTTCGAAACAAATTTAATTAAACAATTTAAATTTTCTATATTACATTAAAGAAACAAAAAGAACTAATTTCCATCAATTCCAACTAATTGTTTACAATTTATTTCGCTCAATTGTTTTCTCTCAATTTTTGATTTTCAATTTTTCGAAATTTAGTTTTCTAACTAACCAATAGATGGCAGCACCTTTCGAATATAACGAAAATGTGTTAATGTTTTTGTTTTCATTTTCAACATTGAATTTAAAATGGAATCTGATTAATTTGATTCTAATTGTTTTTCTTTAACTAATTAGTCGTTTTTTTACCAATAATCATTTCTAAAGTGTCTACTTTCATTCTAACCGTGAAATCAATGTTAATTTGCTGAGTAAATCGGTGAAAATCTTGAGAAAACAAATGGTAAGTCTTGTGATATGTTAACCTTTTTGTTTTCATGTCAATGGTTAATTTTTGATTCTTAATTGTTTACCGTTTTTCTTAATCATTAGGCTTTGTTGAAGACTCTGTTACAGTCTAATCCGATTTCTACGTTATTACCAAGCCTTATTGGTAAAAGATGTATCAGGTAACTTAAGTTTAAATTGATTCTCTTTGTTTTTCTTTCAACAATTTCTTCTTTGCAACTAATTTTTTTTGTTTACATTTTCTATTCTTTTTTATTTTAAATTTGTAATTTGTATTTTAGTACCAATCAAATATTGGATCAAGCGTTTGTTGGAACCTATATGAGAGTCGTTGATAATAGTCCTTTAGGAAAACAGGCCATGCTTGACGGAAAACCACCGAAAATCATTGGTATTTACCGTAAACCAAGAATTGCGACTTTAGGAACCAAAGTAATGGTCGCAATTAAAGGATTGAAAAAGAAAGGAGTAGTTGTTGGTTTGTTGCGACTTCAAAAACCGGGTGTTCCTCGATTCGATTCAAATAATATGATTCTTTTAGATGACAAGGGTAATCCATTAGGAACACGAATTCTAGTTCCAATACCAAATTTACTTAGAAACAACCGACTTGGACTGAATAAGGTAATAGCAATTGCGACCAAATTTGTCTAGAATTGGTTTCGATTGAGTTAAATTAAATATTAAGATCGCAGATTGTTTTTTTTTTAAATTGTTCAAATCTCAAGGTTCAAACTAATTGTATTTCTAGTTAAATGAGTTATAAATATTGAACGATTCGTTCAAAAGTAACATTTAACAGCTAATATGTTAACTTTATTGGTGATTTACACTTGGTGACTTGAAATCCATTTAATTTAGACCAAAACAGGAATCTAACCAAATTATAAGAGGATCCATAATAATTAAATACACAATTTAAAGGTTTAATGTATGAGATTGTAAAGTTTCCTGTTATGATAATTCAATTCACCACTTTGAGTCTTTTCCCAATAATATTCCTGTTTGAAAAGAGAAACGAAAAAAAGAGAAAACAAATTTTTATGTTAATGGTCATGAGATTTACTTTATCAACCACAACTCAATTGCTAGAGGATTTTAATTGCTCTCTTTTTCCAACTTACCTCTTGATCCATATCGAAACGAACTAATAAGAAGTATGGGAAAAATATGGTTCCTGCGAATACTATAAATGTTGCAAGAGTTGGTTTCCAGTAATCAAGCCGAAAATATTTGGCAGAATTGAATCTCTCAAATTGCGGATCAACCTAAAGAGAAAAGAATTTACAAAAAAGGTTAAAATCTTGCTTGGAAACAAATTCAACACCAAGAGAGAATGTTGAACAATCAATAGATGATGATGGTGACTAAATTAAACCAACAATTAAACAGAAAATACTTACATAAGCGATACCATAAGCGGATGAATAAGGATTATATTGAAATCTATTGAAATCAAGTTTCAATTTTTGCCTTATTTCATTTCGTCTTTTCATTTTCTCCAATTCTTCTGGAGCTTCATCAAACATTTTCGAGGAATTGAAGCCTCTACATCTACGAAGAAGGGTCAATCTCATCGTGGCGGTGAATTAAAAAACACCAATCAATTAAATTAACACAATTAGAAACAATTAATCAAGATAATTGGTTGACCTCTAACAAGAAAATGTTTACCTATTGAACAAATTTTCCAACCAGAAGATGGCGTAACCATCACATTTGGAGCTCTTTTCAAAAAGTTAATCAATCAACTCGATTAAATGAAATTTAATCAACCGATAAAAAATTAAAACAATTAAGTGACAATTAGAGTAAACTTAAAGAAATACTCAATTATTATTCATCGATATTTTATTTGACTAATTGTGATCACTGTTTTTTACAAAAAAAACTCTTGAAAAGTTTAACTTTAAAATTGACCAAAAATTAGTAACTCAACTTGATTTGATTAACCACAATTTAAATTGATCATCTGAATTGAAAATCTCGATAATCATACTGTTGATAAACCGTGATAAGTAAATTATGCAGAAAAAAATTAGTCAATTGTTGATTAAAAGAATCCAATATTGATCTGCCAATAGAGTTGCAATTAAAGTTTTTCAAACTGAATTAGAAACAATTTATTCAAAGATTGATTGACAATTAGCAGCAAAAAAAAAATAAAGCAACCAATTTACAGATTCAATAGAGTATCAGATAAATTGTTTGCACAAACAAATGACCAACAATTAGAAGAAGAAAAAAAATCAACAAATTGATACTAATCAAAGTCATTGAGATTGATTATCAAAAGAGATAATCAAAAAACTCAATTGCAACAATCAATGTGACAATTGGTTAATAATGGGAAGCTGATTGTGTGGTTAAATAGATAAGGCAATTTGACAGGGAATGATTAAAGTGATCACAATTAAGAGCGAAAAAAAAATGTTTCAAATTTCAAAAGTTTCTCAAGTTTCCTATTGAACAATCAAAATGATATTATACTTTTACCTTTACTTTTATTAGTTGATCACATATGAAACGTATCTTATCTTGATCGTAATCATAATCAACCTGATCCCAATTAGAATTACAATCGGTAATCAGTTACCGGAGATTGTTATCAGTTTAAAAAGCGACCTGAAATTTGATCTTGAAAAGAAGTCCAAGTAAAGCGAAAGGCGAAAAGAAAGAGCGACAAGAAAAGAGAAGAAGAAGAAAAAAAAAGTTTCAAGTTAGAACTCGAAAAATCGATGACTAGGAGTCGACGAAGGAGGAGGAGGAGAAGGAGGCAGAGGGAGTGTAATCGATTTGACTTTCTATCGCTAGACCAGCCCAAACATCCACACATACACACGTTTAAGTACCCACACCACAATCGGAAATGATTAGTACCAAAAATCGAGGTTAAGAAAAGATCGAAAAAAAACTTTTCTTCTCTTCTCGTTTCTTTTCATCTTCAAATACCCAAGCTCCATTATCGTCATCATAATAATAAGAAGGATGTTTCAGTCTCTCTCTCTCTCTCTCTCTCTCTCTCTCTCTCTCTCTCTCTCTCTCTCTTTCTTTCTCTTCTTGCTTATCTTCTTATTGACGGAGACTTTTTCTCTTCTTTTTGTTCATTCTTCGAGATGATCGGTTTCGCCTTCGCTTTTCATCTTCCTCATCTTCATCATCTACTTTGAATACAGGTAACAACAAATGAACTCAACACACTCTTAAGTATTAATATGTATTAATACGGATTACATGTTATTAGTAGATGGATTTAGCATAAAGACTTAAGTCTATTCAATAACAATAAAGGTACAACTACAGTCGTGTAAAGTTTTTTTACTCTTGTTTTTACACATTATCATCTTCATCCTCATCCCAATGCCTTTTACTTTAGACTATACGACTGTTGCTTTTTTTTGGGACCTTTTCATCATCATCTTCACGGGCAGTATTGCGACAACAACAACAACAACAGCAACGACAACATTTACTACCAACACTAACTACGACAACGAGATCAGTACAACAAATGGTAAAAAATGCAAAATAGCATTTGAATGTATTCACAAAGAAAGAATATGAAGAAAGAGGATAAAAAGGGCCCACGACGATCGGCAGGCCATAGATTTTCTCGAATAGGACAAAAGAGAGACATCTTTCAATAGACTCACCATGGATGATGATGAAAAAGCCGAAGCAAAGAGGCCAAAGATGATGATGAAGAAGAAGAAAGGAGTTGTAAGAATATTTTTTTTTCTTCTATTCGAAATTTTCAATTCTCTCTCTTTCCAAGCATCATAAAATTAAAAGACGAAGAGGATGATGATGATGAAGATCAAGATGAATAGTCTATGGCCTTTTTATTGAACATTGGCTTCATCCAAATGCAACCATTAGGAAATTATATCAATAGTATTTGCATTAAGAATGAAAAAATTATTCGAAAACTTTTTTTTTCCTTTGATTAAACTTGATTGTTTATCGGTTTTCGAGAATGGTTGAAATCGGTTGTACTGATTAACACACAATTTAGGACCATTAAAATGACGATGAAAACAATTTGTTGATTGTAAATATTATAGAAAAGCTTTGAATTGATTCAGTGACAAAAGGATGAGGATGATTAATGAAAATCAATGTGATTTATTAACAACACAGCCACTTAGCAAGTGGATTAGTTGGATTAGTGTTTAGTAGTAACTTTAATCGGCTTGAGAAGTAACCAAAATACAGATGAAAGGTATTAAATTGTTATATTGTGTTGATCAAATTGTTGATAATCGGCTAATAAATATTTAACCACTAAACATCCTCCTCGATCAACCCTTAATTGTAAACGGTTAACTGTTTAATTGTTACGGTAGATTATCAAAAACAAGTCCCAATATGACAATCAAAGTTACAGGAGGAAAGAAAACAATTCAGTTAAAAAAATTAACTTGATTAGCTAATAAATCAATCAATCAGTTAAACTAATTATCTACAATTACCTGATAATATTTACAATCAAGGATAAATTGAAAAAAAAACTTTCGATTTCATTGATCATAATTATAATTGATTTAATAATATTAGTGAGAGGAGGAGGAGGGAGAGGTGGTTCCACTCCACCTCCTCCACCCTCTCTCATTATCACAGTCCCATAAATCCTCTTTGTCATCCTCTTTACACATCTCTATCATCCTCATCTTCATCTTCCTCCTCCTGGTTTTCCCACCCCAATCATTCACTACTCGAGCTGCTTGTTGAGGCCACGATTTTAAGGCCATATTATTAGCCGCTTAGAGAGACTACAACATTAAACTCGATGGGCTTTTAATCATCCTCATCCTCATCTTCTTGTAGGGGGCTACTTTTGATTCCCATTTAGTTTTGTCTCTCCTATTGTAATAACCTAAGAAACCATGTCAACGGAAACTGAATTAACAGATTATAATAGATAATTAACTCGACTTCATTTGTACATTATTTTTGCGTACGTTTTTTTTTCGAGTCCAATTTTTGATTGTTATCCCCTATTGTCATTCATTCAGTACCAACAACAACAACAACAACAATTTACTAATCGTAGTGATGACAAATTGCTATTATGATTATGATAATTTGTTTATAAGTAAATAACAATTGAAAGAAACTCTAACTCTTTTATTTTTTTTTTCTCGAAACTTTTTTTCCTACTTTACAATAACAAAAATGTATTTTAAAAGATACTATTGAAATCGGCTTAATTGTTACAATTAGAGAATTACAAATAGAAAAGGATTTAATTGTTTAATCAATAAGGTTAGTAATCATATTGAGAAACAATCAAGCCGACAGATAACAATCAACACAATCAATCAATTGAGAGATGATATAAGTTACATGTGAAAGGAAAAAAAAGGTAAACTGGACAAATTGTGAATTTAGAACAAATTTCAAGTTCGAAGTTGGAACTTTTTCTTCTCTTTCAACTTGTACAAAATGTAAATAGAAAAAAAAATATTCATCATCATCAAGATTTAAATAGAAATTAAATAGAAATGATTTGTTTCTATGGAACAAGATGAGAAATGTTTCCATTAATGTAACATGTATTGTGTGTGTATGCCCACCGGTGGATGCTCAGACTTAGTCGGCGGGGAAATGATAAGGTTAATATTACAAGAAATTGTTCTAGATAACTTCTGATTGGACTATTAGATGTTCGTGGCTCCTCCTTAATACCCACTTTTATATTGAGCATTTCTAGTTATATAGGAAGTTCTAACAAAATCGAGCAGTTTGTTTTCTCGATTATTGTTTGAGCATCTAAAAGGAGAGAGAGAGAGAGACAGACATTTCAAGTCTATCATCCTGATCATCATCTTGATCATCACCAACCTCATCAATCATCATCATCATCGAGAGTAAAAATCATTATTAATCATTTGAAATCGTTAAAAGTTTTTTTCTTGTTCTTTTTTTTTAAAATAAACTCAATTCCAAGTGATTCCAAAACAATGGAAACTTTTACAAAGAATAAGATTTCAGTTCCAAAAAAGGAGTTATCATTTGGAATTGATAAGCTTTTATCTTTATCATCTTCACCGTCATCATCATCATCATCATCTAAACCTCCAATCACATCAATAAATATCAATAATTTGCCAATACCTCATCTACATCATCATAATCATCACCATCATCATCGTATATCTTTGATGAAATCAACCCTTCCCCTTTCAATTGCTTCAATAATTAAGCAACCAACCTCATCATCACTATCAAGTTCATCATCATCATCATCTTCATCGTCCTCTTCTTCCTCATCATCTTCATCTTCGATATCAATTTCATCCAGGACACTTAATTTGAGCTCAACGGCAGCGGTAGGTTCTAACATCGCTAACATCAACTCCACTTCTTCAGCCCAATCAATCACTCCCAACACCAACACCAATACCAACACTAACACTAACAACAACAACAACAACAACAACAACGGTGTAAAATCAGCTGGTAAAATGTTTACCTGTTTAGAGTGCGGGAAGATATTCAATGCACATTATAACTTAACCCGTCACATGCCAGTCCACACCGGGGCTCGGCCGTTTGTTTGCAAAGTTTGCGGTAAAGGTTTTCGCCAAGCGTCAACTTTATGTCGTCACAAAATCATCCACACCGCTGAGAAACCCCACAAATGTGTCACCTGTGGTAAGGCTTTCAACAGATCGTCAACCCTTAACACCCACATGAGAATCCACAACGGATACAAACCCTGGATTTGTGAGTATTGTGGAAAGGTTTTCACCAAAAGGGAAACTACAAGAATCACAAATTAACTCATTCCGGGGAAAAGGCCTACAAATGTGAGAAATGTAATAAAGCCTTTCACCAGGTATACAATTTGACCTTTCACATGCACACTCACACCGACAAGAAACCTTATACCTGTAAAGCTTGTGGTAAGGGTTTTTGCCGCAATTTTGATCTTAAAAAACACATGAGAAAATTACATGATCTAAATTGTTCCGCCTCAATGTTTACAATTAGCCCTTGAAAACTTGTCACTTGTAAATTGTTCACAATCAAATCTTGTAATTGTTAAGCTAAATTGTAATTTTTTCATCCTCTAGTCTTTCACATCACCATCATCATTAATCATAAAAAAAACAACCACAACAATTTGATTAATATAATAATAATCCTTTGAAACCAAAAATAATCAATAAATAACACCAAACAATTTAAAAGTTGATTTATATAATGTTATCAAAAAAATGACCAAATTAAAATAAACAATTTAGTAATTGGTAAAATTTACTCTTACTTTGTGATCCAATTTTTTGTGACTTTATCGAGTGAGTTGATTGATTTTCAATGTTAATTGTTTGCTAATTTTTATCATCTAGTGATTCAAGTTTGATGGGAGTGGGAAGATGATTAAGATCATCTTCTTGTGGTGGGTATTGGAGTGGGAGGAGAGGAGGAGGAGGAGATGAGTGTGATAGGATGTTACCTTTTATTATGATGATGTTATTGTTGATATTGGATGAGAAACATTATCTTTGGATGATGAAAGATGATGATGATAATCCTTTTAACTTTGATATCAATTATTTTGATAGGTAGGAGGATAATAATAAGAAGATGATGTCGGTGATGATAAGGTTATGATCTAAGATGATGAGGAAGATGTGATGATGATAATTGTATTATTGGAAGGAATAAAGTTTGATATTAGAACTTTTTTTTTCTCTTCTTCGTTTTTTTTTTCTTCCTCTTCTCATTGTTATTAGTTAAGCGATTATTGAACAATATATATTGATGATAACTTTATCATCTTCTTATCTTCATCTTCTTCTTCCTATTTCTTTATTATTACCTTAATCTTCATCCCTTAATTCAAATGATTATCTTTTGTTATGGTAACAATTAGATTTCCAAGATAATATTATATCGATTTTCAGTTGTAAACTAAATCTAAATATACTATAAGTTTCTCGATCTTCAAATTGTAACCTAATTGTTGCAATAAGATTTTAATAACATACAATTTATTTGAATTTCTTTCAACAATTAGTAAATTATTATTAGAATATAACAATCGAAAGCAATTAGGTGACCACTAGAAGGAAATTTATTAAATTGTAACAAACTTTTGACAAGGAAAAAAAAGTTTGCACCCAAAATTTTATAGTAAAAATTATCATCAGACTTAATTGTTAACAATTTGATAATAGATTCAAGTTTAATTTGAATTTTTCAAGTGCTGATTTATTAATATATTGTTAGAGTATTAATATTATGTGTAGAGGATTAACACGATTAGAGATAATAATAGTTGTTGGATTAAAAAAAGAGCGCGAATTAAATTGTTGCATTTGTGGTAATAAAAAAACTATTAGAATGTAAATTAATTGTGGTCAAGGAAATTAAATTGACCGTTACAATTAGATGCACTAGGTTTAATCAGCAATCTAATCATCATCATCATCATTATCTGGACAATAACAAACTGACCAGAAGTAGTTGTGGTCACTTAAAAAACTACAAGTTGAAAGATCTTAAAAGTTAAGGGTCAATGGAAACATCAACAATAAACATCAACAACAACAACAACAATGACCAATGGTCAGTGTCAATAAAAGAGTTAATAAAAAAAAGAGGAAATGATTTATCATCTTGATCATCATCATTTTTTTAATAACAATCAACAAAAAAAAGATAAGTACATTTGAATATGATATTAATATGGAAGCACAAAAATCAATGTTAATTTACATTGAGATGCTTTTTTCCGCTAAGGTAACTTTGTTTTCATCAAGTTGATGATGATGTTGATGATGAAAAGATGAGGATGAGGATGAAAAGAAGATTTTCTCTTCCAAATCAATAGTAAATACATATGAATACATATTTCTCTTGTTAACTTACTCTCGCTTGGACTCCTTGGGTTAGTCTATGGGAGTTTATGTTTTTGTATTCGAAACTTTTTTTTTCTCCTTCAAAACCAACCCCACAATCTTTTGTATATTAACCATAGGAGTAGATTGGACATAATTGTAATCATAATAATCATCATTGTGATATATTGTCAATGGATGATGATAATTCACAATCTGAATACCACGAGACTTTTTTACCAATTTTACAAAAGCTCTTTCATCATCTTCATCATCTTCATCATCTCTGTTTTACCTTGATAATATTAACTAATGGTAATTTCAATTTCGATTTCGATTTCGATTCTTGTTTGAAACTTTTTCCATTTCGATTCTGAACATTTACCTTTGATTACGAACTTTTTTTTCTCCTTCTCATCTTGTCTTTCCATCTCTATAGTAGATTGTCATTCTTTTTTTCCCCTCGTCTCCTCATCATCATCTGTTGGCTCATCATCATCTTCTTCTTATTGTAGGAAGTGTCAGCAACAGAAAATGAATCTTATCATGAAAATTTTCATTCCATGAGAAATTATCTTCTCTCTTTCCTCCTTTGTCATGATGATGACAATCTTCTTGCTGGTTGATCTTCAATTGAAAACAAACCCTAATCTTCATCCGTTTTTTTTATCATCCTAACGGTTCTCATCCTTTTTTTTGTATCTTCCCACTTTTTTTACCTAACATCCTCATCTCTCTCACTCACTCACTGTATATATTTAACTCCCACTGTGAATTATTTATTAAATTGTTGTGGTTATTCAATGATATCCGGTCCATGATGATAAAGATGAGAGTTGATTATATTAACATGAACTTAATCAGAATAATAATTTTTTCTCAATTTCTATCCTTTTGTTGTTATTATTTCTCGTTGTTTCTTGTTACCAGTTCATCATTTCATTTGATTGTTATCATTGTAATTATGATAATCCAAATGACAATCAATTGCTTGTTTCCTTCCTTAATCTAATTTAAATGATTATCTAGTTGCGTTGATTGTTGAAAAATACATATAAATATAATCGTCACGTGCCCATCAATTCAATATGTCAATTTAAATGTTGATCAACATAAACTTAGCAACATGAATATCATAATATTATATCATCATCATCATCATCATGATTATCATCATGTTACAATGTTCAGATTCATGATGATAAAACCAAGATGGTGACAAATTTAATAATAACAATAATTGTACAAAATTAGATAAACAGTTAGATGATAATTAAGATGCAATGATCAACACAACTGCCATGATTATGATTCCCGGTGTGATTGTTAATCATCATGTTCAATATCAAGAGTTGAAAATATACAATTTAATGATGATGATGTTGATCAAAAGTGTTAATTAGCTGAAGCAAAAAAAAAGTGTCAAGTTGTGTTACTATTTGTCTGTTTGTGTATCTGTCAAATCCAGATACAAATCCTCAAGTTGGTATAATAGCTTGAAGGATGGAGATGAAGATGAAGATGAGGATGAGGATGAAAAGCATCATTGTATTGATTTTCCAAGTGATGAGAGATGTCGTCATTTATAATAACAATAATAAGGTGTTACCTTAACCACCATAACAACAATTGATCAACATGTTTATTGTTGAATAAGGTAAAAATAATGATGATAAATTGTTACCTCCTTTTTAATCATCATCAGCATTGTATAGATGATGATGATGATAATAATAATATATACAAATTGTTGATGACTATTTTTACACCCTAGGGCAGGTTGGTAAGGTTAACTGATTATATTACATCAATGATGATGATGATTTCAGATAAACTTCATTAACATCATTACTTAATCATCAACAAAATCAGTTGGATATTTAGTGGTTATAAACAGTAGACGATTACTTGATTATGACCAAAATAATCAACAAATTGTTGACCAATACTCATTTTGATACATTGCAATTGATGTTTGTGTTTGCTGATTAATAGATTTACAATTTTTTTTCTGATTTACTTTGTGGTCACAATTTGTATTAACTAATGATACTAGAAATTACATTTTTCTTTTACTACTGTAACTGTGGTGATAATTAATTGTTTGTATCAACAGTTGATTGGTAAGAAAGTTTGAAATTTGATCCAATATAATGATCATAGTAGTAAAAGTATTATGTTTGTTGCGAGAGTGATTTAAATTTGATTTTGTTTTTCTCAATTCTCTTGGTTAATAAGAGACGGAGAGAGAAACTGAATCAGGTTAAGTGTAATGTTGTTTGTGTCAATAATACCATAGGAAAACGGATAAACCAAATACTCAAATATTATCTGGTAAAAGGCGTTTATATCTGGTATATTATGAACGCTTCGTTAGAGCATCAAAATGGCTATTCAAAAATGTTCCATTTAGAATAGAAGAAAAAAAATAGAATCGAAAAAAAGAGAAGCACAGTTTTGTTATATCCATTGAAGAAGATGATGAGGATGATGGAGATGATGGAGATGATGATGATAGAGCAGCAACAACAGTGATAGTTTCATATGGAAAGTGGTGATGATGTTTACATGAAGAGGTAAAAAACAGTTAACTGAATGATTGTAAAAAGGGATAAGTTGATTTTCATCAGGATCAATGAGCAAATGCAATTACATTGATAGTTGATGAAAGGAAAAGTTGATAAAATCTTTTTCAAGACGATTATCTAAATCATTGTCTAATCTTAGTATAAAAATATAATACATATGATATAAGTTTAGACTTTTTGATAAACTTGATAATATTGGTTCATCATTACCAACTTAGGATGGATTCATTTTTGTTTAACTTTAAAAAATTAGACAAAAATGTTAATCTTTCATTTGAGCAGCAATTAAGGAATTAGAGAAACGCTAATTTTAAGCACTTCTTGTTTCTCTCGATTAATTGATTGCGATTTTGGATTATCTTGAGTGTGGAAAGTGACACACTGACAGAGGAAAGAAAGGAAATAGTGGAAAATAACAATTCCCTATAACAATCCAAGCAGAGAAAATATTATATATACAGCTAATCATCTCCATCCTCATCATCACTCCAGTTAAAAGTGTTCACTATAGAGCCAATCTCAGCCTATGTGGTTTGCAGGCTTGAGAATATTATATGTGTACATTTATATGTTTCCATGTTTTTCCTCATCATCATCATCATCGTCGTCATCATCCTCCTCTTGGGCTTTTTTGTTGTTGTTACTCCATTGCTCCTTCTTTCATCATATGCTTTTCCCTCTTCTTTATCATCTTTTACTTGTTCTGTGTTATGTATCATCTCTCCTTTTATTTTCCTTTCTTTTCTGTCTTCCTCTGTGTCTTTATTTCTTTTCTTTCGATTCTCCATTTGCAGGCTTTTCCATTTACATTCAGGTAGCTGAAAAAGAAAAGGATGATAGAGACAGAGAGAGAGAGAGTAAGTATATCATCATTATCATCATCAACAACATTGGAATCATTTGATTCATTCCTGTTGTTGTTGAAAGATGATGATCAAGATAAATAGAAATGGTAGTCAACGAGAGAGAAAGGGAGAGAGACGAATTAATGTCCCAACAGGTTACAATGTAAACAATGTCAATGAAAAGCAAATAACAGAATCTTCAATTCATTGATAGAGAAAAACAAGAAATTTCATCCATATTATATTAGCTGTTTTTGGCTTTTCTCTTTCTCTGTCTTCCTTTGATTTATCCTTCTCATCCTTTTTTTATCATCTCTGTAAATGATATTATTCCGTCTTTGCTGTTTTTGTACCTTTCCTTTTTGACTGCATCTTTTTTGTGAATAACATGATGATGAATCTGTATGTAATGAAAAAGAGAGCAAAATGGAAGATGCTTTTTTCATTAGAATTTCATCAAAATAACAGTTACTTGAAAAATATGAAGATAATCATAATAATAATCATGTTCATTGATAAAAGAACCGATTCGTCAATGGTAATAACATTTTCCTTTTCCTATGGATTTTTATCATGTTGAGATTTGCTGATTGATTCTGAGGTTTGAATGATAGAAAGAGAGAGAGAGAGAAAATCCAATCTTGAAGAAAAGAGAAATAAAAAGATAAATGAGAATATTAGGAACGAAAATTAATGAATAAGATAGAATATGATTTTTTTTTCTTCGACATTTTCTCTTCTATAATTAGGTTAATAGCTAATGTTTACATTAAGATGCAGAAAAAAAGTAAATGACTTTTTGAGAATTTGAATTTAGTCAAGTTTACTTTTAACCTTTTTTTTTATTCTTACCTTTAGTTTTCATTATTATCATCGTGTCTCATCCTTAGGCCTAATGGAGGATAGAAAACAGAGAAACAAATGAATTAAACTCATTCTGTGATCATTTTCCTACAGGTATTGGATCAATGATGATAACCAAAAGTCAACAGGTGAACATCACCAAAGTCTATAAGAGATCATATTACAATCTGATGGTTGTATCAAGAGTAGATCATAAATGGATTAGTTTTAAATTGTTGTGCGTATTGTCAAGATACTTACAAGTTAATTTAGTGGTTGATTTCATCTGTAAAAGTGGTGGTTGGGCCTTCTCATTGAATGTAAACATTTTCATCAGTTGAAGCATTTCAGTTGGCATCAGATGACATGATATTATTTTGTCTATTTGGAACATTTTGATCTTATCGTCCTGAAAGTGGAAACAGAAAAGGGAGATAGATCATCAATTTCTGTGGTAAAACTTTGGTGAATATGATGATGATGATGATGATTATCTATGAAAATAGAAGGAGAAAATATTACATATTGAATAGAGATATTTTGCCTTAAGGGTTATATAAGGCAAAATTTTGTCTTTAGTGGTTTGTTACCAAATATTAGTAATGATAATCATCATCTTCTTCATGATAATAACTGTACTCATCCATGTAAATGTATATTACATATTAAAAGAGCCATGATGTTTGATGAATGATCAATTTGAATTGAGAGTTGAACCAAAAAGATGAGGGCCAAATGCCTGAGGGAAATTGATAAAGAGATGATGATGATTATGGAAGATGAAGATGATTGTCATGAAAAGCTGATGATTATATTGATGATACAAAAAAAAAGGAAGAGGAAAATGATGAATCAAAATATGTAACCAATTCACTAGAATAGAAACAAGGAGAGAAAAAAAGATGAAGATTAGTTACACGTAGAAATCAGAATACAACAGAATCAGAAGTAAAATTCAGTCAATCAATTAATTACCTATGGGCGATGATTAATCACAGAAAAAATTGTGATAATTTTGATTGAATCAATAAAAATGGAAAAGAAAATCAAAAATAAACTAACCTTTTGTTTCACAAATCAATTGACACTTTCAAGAGAAAAAAATGATTTTCTTTTTTCTAATTGAAATTCAGATCAAATTACAGAGCAAATCTGTCCACAAACGACCAACATCATATTCCTACCAATTTATCAATTAGAAAGAATTAGACAAAAATCATCTAATCAAAACATTTAAGAGATTAAATTGTCTCAACTATTAATTAGAATTCAAATTGAAGAAAATTTTAAATTTTCTTTATGCTTCACCATCGCCATCTGGTGGTTCGAATTTGAGTTAACTTTTTCATTTCGCAAAATCGATTTATGTTCAGGTAAATGTTTGAAGATGTATAACATTGTAAGAATCACTTTTCACAACAAAATTGAACAAACTAATCAATTAAAAGGTAAAAGGAAAATTTCAGGAATCGTTCAATTGTAAATAATGATAGAGCAAAGGAAAATTCAACTGAGTCTTCCAGCGAGATCCAATGGTGAATAGTAAGATTGCAAAACTAATAGAAAACTTTTCTTTTCTTGTTCGTTATCATGAAGAGAGGAATAAAATTGTAACCCAGAATTCCAAAGAACCAGAATTCTCGCCATCCTCCAATTTGGATAATCATCAATTCAATCATGATAATTTCCTCATAAAGTTATCATGTGGTTCCAAACATATCGAATAACTTATGGTAAGAATTTATTTAATTTCTCTATTTCCATTCGTCTCTGAAAGGAAATGAAGATAAAAAAATGTGTATTCAAAGAGTTACGTAGTTAAATTGACCTTAATTGTTGACAATTAATTAGCTGAATCAAAATCGCCACGAAAATTACAAAAATGATTAAAATTTGTTTCGATTACTCTGCCATCTATGGTTAGGGTTTTCTACTACAACAAAATCATTTGTTATTGTCCGTTTATTGTGTGTGGTTATTGTTATTTGTTTGATCTTAATGTCGGCTAAATCTAAGTTTGTCCTTTCATCGTCGGTTATTATTACCCTTTCAATAATTGTCGGTGTCCATGTTGTCCAGGAATTAGAGAAACGGCGTATACGTGCTGGTGTAATTCGTGATATTGAGAGACTTAAATTAAAAGAAGCAAATTCAATAACCAACTCACCGGTATCTTCATCATCATCATCATCCAATTGAGATTCAATTTCCAGTGACATTGGTCAGTTAATCATTTCCAAATATTAATCTCCTGTATAAACATATTGATTGCTGAAAGATAATGAGTGGTATTAGTGAAGAAATTGGAAGAAATCTAATGGAAACCAGTGAAGAGGTTGATAGGACTCCATCGCCATCATCGCCCAGTTTATCATCAACCCAAGAGCCAAAAACTAAACGAGAAGAAGGTGATGAGGATAAACAACCATTATCACCGGAAATTAAAGTTGATGATGATGAAGATGACGATGATATCGATGTTGATAATGATGTAATTGAAACGGAAGCTGATACAAGAGCTGATATTCCTGTTGCCTCATCTTCATCTTACAATGAATCAGAAGATGTTGTTTCTAATACTAATGAGTTTCAAGCCACTAATGAAGAGAATCCAGAAATTAGCTCCAATACCAATAATGTAAATGCTGATAGTAGTAATTTAATTAGCCTTGTGGTTTCCAATAACAATGACAACAACAACAACAATCATAATGATAACAATTTAACCGCCTCTTCAACAACCAATCCAGAGATGATTAAGGATAATAAAGTAACCTCAGTAGCCAGTTGCTCTTTTGACAGTGAAGTTAATAATGATTGGAATGAAAATCAAATGGAATGTGAAACTAGTTCAATGAATCTAAACGATAACTTAATTATTACCACAGCCACTAATTTAACGACAACTACAATCACGACCACAACCAACAACAACAACAACAACAATTCAAATGAAACCGATGTTACCAGTGGTCAAAGTAAACGGACATTTGGACGTGCCTCAAATACTAGAATTAAACTAGATGAATTAGCTTTTAATCGTCTCGATCGTAAAGAGTTATGGTCAAAATGGAGGAAACAAGAAGATTATATTGACTCATTGGAAGCCAAAATTGATTCGATTTCACTTCGAAACGATTGTAATACAACCAAGGAACTGGAAGAGAGACTCAAACAACAGCAAATCGACGCTTGTCGACGAGAAAACACTTTAGTCATGAGATTGACTAACAAGGAACAAGAAGTCGCCGATCTTTTGGTAAGTAGATGACCACTAATTCTAATCATGATGATTGGTCAATAAGAAACATCCAATTGACATTATCACTTTTCTCTCATTTTTACCCATTAGAATCGTATTCAAGCAATGAGAGCGGAATTAATTCCGTCTGATTCTCGACTTAATTCAACCCTTTTGGATCCAGCACTTAATTTAATGTTCGAACGTATGAAATCCGAAGTAATTTCTTCAAGAGAACGGGTTGATCAAATGCAGAACGAATTAGCAGCCTGGAAATTTACCACCGACAGGTAAGAATTTTAATTCTCTATTCTCTCTCTTTTTCTGAATTCTAACAAAATTTCCAATCATTACAATTTAGTCACATGGGCAAACAATTAATGGCCAAATGTCAAGCTTTGTACAAAGAGAACGATGAACTTGGAAAAACAATCGAATCTGGAAGAATCGGTAAAATGGAAGGAGAATTATCACTTCAGAAAAATTTCGTCGAAGAAATGAAGAAAAGTCAAATGGGTATGAATTCGAAAAATTTTAAATCGATCAACTAATCAACCATTTAAATAACAATTAACAATTTTCTCTCTCTTTTAATAACAGAAACTGATGAATTCCTATTTGAACTTGACGAGGAAGTTGAAGGTCTACAAGCAACGATACTTCATCTAAGGAATCAGTTGAAAGACGTCAAAGCGGAAAGTGACCTTCGTCCAGCAGCAGCAGAATTAATCGAAAAGCCAAAAGAAGTGAAAACAAGTTGAGCCAAAATTGGAAAATTAATTAGCTAATCAACTAATTACAGCCAATCTATTATCTCTCCTCTATTTGTATAGATTATCATATATTCTGATTGACCTTAAATCACAAGTAATAATTTCATATATTCAATTGATAATATAAATTCATTTATATACAAACATGATTTTCAAAAGATAATCAAAAAGCTAAAATGTAATTAGTTTCACTTTAATTACAATTATCTTTCATTCAAATCTAAACTTGTCACTAATTAATAGTCTCAATTTACATTTTAGATGAGAAATTGAGATTTATTTTCTTCTCACGATTAATTTTCTCTGTTGATAATCAAGATTAACTCTAATCAATTTTCCACTAATTAAACTCCCACTTTTTTCTTGAGTGAATTAAATTTCAAACAATTAGTTAAACAGAGGAAATCAAGACAATTACAGTTACACGAGAAAGTTGATTTATCTGAACAGAAAATTATAATAATCTATTAATAACTGGAACAGTTTTTCACTTTAAACAACCTTGACAATCAAATTTGAAGGTGAAAATATAATAATTTAATAACATAATTGATGGAGCAATCAACGCGAAATCATCAACAACAATCAACAACAATTAACAAGTTAATTAAAATTAACAAAAAATGGAGGAAAATTGTGAGTCTTCCCGGAGAGAAATTTAAATCGGAAACAATTTAAACAGTTAATCTGAAGCTCTAATTGTGAATAGATTATCAAATCATCGCCCTGATCCCAACAAGAACAAGATTAATCAGAATCAATTAATTGTCTCTAACTGGTGACAATCAAGAAGAAAATGAAAACAACAACAATCATTTCGAATCAGTTGGAAACGGATTAAGAATCTAAAAGAGAACAAGATGATTGTTAATTGTTGTGATTTAATTGTTGTTCGATTGCTGCATGGAAAAGAGGAAGAACCTCATGTTCGTCATCCTCATCCTCATCATCTTTATCTTCATCTTCATCTTTTTTTATGTTCTAAGGACGATGAATCTTTTTAGAACTCGATAGTTGGTATGGCCTCTTCCTCTCTTCCTTGTCTTCAAATCGTCACAATCATCGAAATCCTTGACGACAAAAAAAACTAAAAGAGAAAAGAAAACAAATATTAATCATTTAGAAATTTGTTTAATTCTTTCAACTGAACAGACTCAGAATTTCTCATGAATTAAATTTCTCTGAGACTGATCATCGAAAAAAGAATCAGCTGTTTACTGTATATATTCTGTCCTTCATTCATATAATTTTCAACTTTTCTTCGCAATTCGATAAACAATTCACATTTTAATTGTTCTCTACTTTAATTTCCTTTCACATGTTAATTATTTTCTATCAATTTTTCAAACAATTAACCTTCTAATCAACCCAAATTTCTAGTCAACAGAAATCAACTCGGCAACAATTAACCTCCAAACCAACGACTGGACAATCACAGTTTCAACATCCCAATGATATTTACCTTTAAGTGATCACCAAATCACCAAAATTAAAACATAATCACCTTAATCACCTTAATATCACAATTAACCAAAGAGAAAAGAACAAATTTTCTTCAATTAATCAAAAAATTGATTCTTCTCTTTTTTTTTGTTTTCTTCATTTTCTACCACCAACTTATAACATGTATTAAATTTGGATTTTGAATTGAATTGAATAGAATAGAATTTTGTTTTTCTTCAACAACTACTTCAATTAGTGTCTTCGATCTTTCAACAATTATAATCATCCAAAGGAACAATTAACTAATTCTTACCTGTAACCAAGTCAATTAATCATCCAAGTGAATCATGGGTCCTGCTTTGTTAGAGTTATATGCAACTCCCTCAGTGAAGAGACAAATGTCCGAGAAAAGGGATTCATCACCTCAACTATTTAATTCCTCACCAACAACCGGACGACCAATGACCAGGTAATTAAAATTTAAAATCGAACAAAAAAAGAACAATTAAATTTGGAAAAAAGAAAAGAAAAAAAAATGTCAACAAAAGACAAAGAGAAAAAGATACAAATTAAGATACTTTAGATCCGAATTGGATCAGTTAATCCCTTCCGATTATCGGTTAATCCTTTCACCTCTTCATAGTTGCCCTAATTTCCTGAATCATTAACCTGATTAAATTGTGGAATTTTGTCAAATTTAAGGTGATCTAATTAATTTAATTCTCTTCTTCTTTTTCCATCTCCCTCTCTCTCTTAGAACTCTCTCAATGAAGGCCGAGCTAATTAAAGATTCAACTGATGGTGAGAAAAAATTAGCCGCCTCCCGATCGGTGGAATCAACTTATTCCCTTGGTGGTTATTCAATTAAAGGAGGTTTCATGTCAAGATCATCCGGTGGGTCATCTTCTTTGACCTCTTCACCTTCCTCTTCAGTTTCAGCTTCATCTTTACTTTTACTACCTAAAAGTAAAACCAATTCATCATCAAGCGCAATTTCAACAACAACACCAACACAAGCCAACATCTCATCAAAATGTTCATCATCTTTGGCTAAATATTTTCGCCTTAAATTTATTGGTTCAGCCATTTTGGATAGACGATATACTCTTCCCATGTTACCATGGATTATCAATGATATCCGACGTAATTCAACCCATAGAAATTGTAAAGACATTGAACTTGAGGTTAATGATATTTGCCTAAAGGCGGTGGTCAAAGGGGAGAGAGCACCTTTGTTTGTACATTCACATCAATTTGTATCCAAATTTACACCTGATCCAAGTGACAAGGCTTCGTTTACTTATTTATTTCGAGATCACCCTGATTCCCAATACACAATTTACTTGTTCCAATCAACATCAGAAAATATGGTAAGTGAAAGATTAACTTGGATTGGATCAACTCAATCACCACAATCATCATTCTAATACATTTACAAAGGAATCAAATTCTCTTTCAATTGTTTTTTTTTCTCTTCTTTCAGGAGAATAGAACAAAAACAAAATTCTATTCTCTTTCTTTCCTGTTTGTTTATCAACAAAATTCATGGAAAATTTTCTCAGTGTATTTTCTTGTATTTTAAGATCTCCCATGTTCCCTCTCAAATGCTTTTCTCCGATTCTCTCAAATCAACAGCAATATTTAACTTATCATCATGTTAATCATCATGAATGGTTAATTTTATATAAACCAAAGAGTATAAATGATGTTGAAAGAGAGAAAGAAGAAGATGAAGATGAGATGATCATGTTTATCCCAGATTCGACCTACTTTTTACCTTTTTGGAAGAAGAGAAGAAAAATCAAAACATGGTAGATGATGATGATGATGATGATGGTGAGAACAAAGAAAAAGAGTAAAATGAAGATAAAGATGATAAATTCTGAAGTGAAAGTGTTCACGCAAGTTCCAATCGAGAAAATCTAACGTTGCTGTTGCTATGCTCTCAAATTTTATCTTCTTCTTCATCTTCATATCTCACTCTTTCCTTTGAGATTGCTCTCTCACTTTATTATTCTTCATCTTCATCTTCATCTTCATCTTCGTCATCATTATCATCATCATCATACTCTATTTCCACCAAGATGGCATGATGATGTTCATTTTAAGGTTACTATCAATTTCACCATAACTTTCATGACCTTAAATTGAGCTGATTAGTTTTATCAATGAGTAGAAACAACAATCAATATTGATTGATTCAATTTCCATATACTACATTAGTATTATTTTTTTAAATTACAACCTAAATTCAAGGACAATCAAGTAATTTACCAATGAATTTGAAATACTTTGGATGATAGAGATCATGATATCATCAATTTAATGGATAATATTTTTCTCTAATCACCTTTACCTTTATATTTTCCCATAGTCTTTCACTTAATCATCATCATCATCTTAATTATCTTTCATGATAATCATTAATATCTATCACCTTGATTATCAGCTAATTCCTTCAGTGATTGAAAAAAAAATCCTAATTAGAAGGAGATATTTTCTAATTGATGATAATGGTGATGATTATGATGAGGATAATTAGATTGTGGGTTAAAATAACATGTACGAAAGGTTCAAAAATCGTTAGTTAATTGTTATCAAGTTAATTTGATTCCAGAAAAAGTATCTCTCGTTTGTTGTCATGAGATTTAATTCCCATGAAGCTCAAAATAACATGAACTCTTGGAACTGAATTTCATGATGATGAACTCAAAGAGATATTGAACTTTTCTGTACTCAGTTTAATATCTTCACTTTCCCTGAAATGAATGACCTCATGATTTAATTTACTCTTTTGTAATTAATTAATTGTTAATCTTTTCCACTGAAAATCAATGATAATAGTTTAACTTTGATGATTATCACAAAAATCACCATGAAAATATGATTAACATTGATAATCATTGATTATCAAGGATTTTTAAACTCCCTGTTGTTAATCACTACCATCTTGTTAATTGTTTACAATTAATCATAATTAGATTTACTTAATTGTCGCCATTCCCAGTTGTATAAATATTATACACGTTGAAAGTAATTTAATTGATTTCTCAATCAATTGTTAACATGATAATTTGTCTCTTCAACTAATTTAATTGTTTAGTCACATGTAAATTATGATTAAGCTTTTTTACCAACTACGTTTCAATTTGTAACAATTAACTCTTATGGATATTAACTGTTAGTTGATTTAGTTGCCAAAATTGATTTAGGAAATTAAGTCTAATCTGTTTTGTAAAGAAAAATTAATTTTAATCTTAATCGCATCAACTAATTGTATAAATAGATTTACTCAGAATTTATTTTCTGTCCTTTAAACATGATAATTAGTTAATCATCATCGTTATGATTCAATAATTTCATCAACTTCGTCATCAATTGTAACTTTTTAATTTGATCGTTAATGATTAAGAACTTTTTTTTCTAAATTATTTGCCTTCATTAAGAAATTATCGTTCTAATCATTTGGATTAATGCCCAAAGGGTATTTGCACTGAATAAATCATATTTATCATCTTAATCTTAATTATCTGATTGTTGATCAGAATCAAGATTAATCATGATAATCTTTTGGAAAACTTTTCAAACTGATTTGAAATGCGATTTGAACATTAAGTCTAATTTAACGGTTTCGATTAATTATCACTGATTTGATTGGAAAACAAATTGGTTAACTATTTGGATTAGTAATTAATTTATGATTAATTGTTAATTTTCATCAATGACTCGATTGAATTGATCATATAACCACACCTTTTGGTCAGTTTGTGATTTAATTGTTAATCTCCTTGTTATCTAAAGAGATTAACTTATTAATCCGTTGATTTATTAATACTTTTCTCATTTACGTAAATATTTCCAATTACTTTTAGCTCTGATTGTGATTTAATCAATCCAATTTGATCTGATTTCTATTAATTACAATTCTGTTTCTGATTGGTTTTATCATTCTAACCATTTGATATCAACAACAATTTGTCATCAAAACATTTATTAATATTTAATCTCAAGAGCAATCAAATTAAATATCAAATTAATATTATTTGATTAACTGTCCATCTTAGTTGTTAATTGTTACCGGTTTAATTACAAACCATTTCCTCTTTGCATCAACAACCATGAGAAAATAATAATCAACTGTGGTTTAGTTTAACTGTTAATTACAAATGATGATTATGATCAACATACAAAAGAAAAATAATTAAACAATTAGTTAATTAGTGAATTGTAACTGTTTCCTTTGTAAACTGATGATGATTATCAATAATTAAACCATGAACTTTGATAGTTATTTATTTGGTATTCAAGTATGAAGACAATCAACAATTTAAAAGTGAATTTAAGTTAATTGTTTGCTTTACAATCAACAGGTTCTTGATTTAATCAATGCCATGAGGGAAGCAACCAAAGTCCTTAATTTTCACAGTGGATCAAATTTAATTCAACGATCAGGAACATCTAATTTAGATAACATATTAAGTAATTCCCAACAATTTGAAGTCATGTATGTTGGTAAAATTAAGGTAATTGTTTTAAATCACTCAATTAGATTCTCGAATTGAACAATCATAATTAATGATAATCTAATCTTTTGATTGTTGATTTGTCTTTTTTTTCAGGTTTACCAAAAACGAGCACCACCAAGTTTCATTGACGATGCTGTTGAAAATTTCCGAACCTCCGAACCCATTAAGGTGAAATTCAGTGACAAGGAGGGCGATGAAAATATTCAATTTCCATCATCGGACCGAAGTGAAAGTGAAACCTCAGTGACCCCAACAGCCTCCGGCTCTTTATCAACCTCCAATTCACCGACCACAACCCCGTCGATAGTTAATCAACTTGGGATGCAACGACCACGAAGCATTTCCTCCCTAACGACCTGTAAAGAGTATAAAGAAACCCTGGACGAGGAAAGTCCAAAAGAAGAGGTTGTTATGGTCACTTGTTTACCTAAAAACGATTCAATGACCAGTTCAACTCACCCGGTAACCATAACGTGTACCAGTCATAACGATGAAAAAGATTCCGTTTTCAGTGACGAGGGACGTGAATCAATGGACGACAGTAGTTTAAACTTTTCCCGGCCAGGTTCAAGTGCTAGTACAGCTTCAGGGGGAGGTAGTATTTTCGGCATTTCCACCGGTGGGACAAGTCTTCATCTTCCCTCTTCTTCACTGATAACCAATACCCAATCACTTGATGAACAAGGTCGAGCATCAATAATCCGTGACCTTGAAGTTTGTTCAAAACACAATCAAGATTCACTCTCACCAATACCCTCACCAAACCCACCGGAGGAAATTTACACACCCGAAGAGGAGAATGATAAAAAACCAGTAACAACTCCAATTAAAATTGAAATAATCGATCCAAGAATAATCATCAACACCGAAACACCAGAGACAAAAGTAACAACAACCTCACCCTCTTCGATATCTTCCCCAGTCCCAACATCTCTTACTCCTCACCCTCCTTCTGCGACACCATTAGTATCTTTATCACCGGAATTAGTTTCATCTACTCCCTCATCTCCGAATAACGGTAATAATAATAACACCAACATTCCAGTGCGAAAATTGTCAACAGAAAAACAGGTTTCACTTCCCTATCGTACTCGAACCAACTCCGGTGGAAATTCTGACCTACGACGTAACCGCCAATCAACCAAATTCCAAAATCGAACGATGCTATTTCTTATTGGTCGATTAGAAATCTGTCTAATTAGTCCTGATCTTCATCAGATTTTATTCAATAAAACTTTCAACTATGTTTCCCACTGTTCTCAAGGGGTCAAGTATATGGATCACTTTGGATTCATTTGTCGGGAGCCTTCATTTTATCCCAGTGAAACTTATGTGGGCTACGTTTTCCGTTGTCAAACCGATAAACTGGTCAATGAGATCATGCATACCCTTAAACAAGCCTTTCACAATGCCCACCACGCATACCAAGTCAATAAGAATAAATCAACGGCAATTTGTGAAACATGTCCAATGCAATGGTTTCATCGACTCTGTGTTGATGTTGAAAGTTTACCCGCTGAAAAAGCTCAGACGGTTATCTTACAGCGACTTGATTCACTTCCGGATGTCGATAAAAATGAGGTCATGTCCATGTACGAGGGAAGTCAAGTTTCATCTATCGAAGAACAGAATGAAATCATCATGATGCTACTTCGAGGAATGTCCGAGCGTAAACAACAGAAACACAATCACCATGGTAAAGACGATAAACGAAATTCAATTTCAACCCTTGACAATTTAAAGCAAAAAGCGAAAAAATCTCTGTCTAATTCATTTGAAACAATTCTCAAGGTAAATTATCATCATTATCATCATTATCTTCCTAATCTTCCTCGTCTTCATCATGTTTCACTTTCCATTTCATCCTAATCTTAGCTGATTTTTATTTTTGCTTTGCATGTTTCGTATTCATTTTTTCTGTTTGCTGATTATCTTGTCATTTAATTTAATCACCAATAGCGAGCAGGATCACCTTCAATCGCTAATTATTATAATCAAAGTCCTTCCATTAGAATTAAATCACAACGTAGTCACACCCTGCATGAAACTCGTGCACGAGCATCAACCATTTCTGGCTTTATTAATATTCCTAATGTAAGATGATATTTATTTTGTCCTCAAGATTTTTTGTCAAAATTTTCATCTCAGAGTTTGTTGATATTTGATTAATTGTATTGTTTTTGCTTAATTAGCTTGCACAGGGTGATTCAAATGATGATTTGAGCTCATCATCAAATCCTTCACCCAAACATGGTAACCGAAGTGATCACTCCTTTTTTGAAGTGACCTCTTCACGTCCACGAAGTTCAACAATTGGTGATGTTAAAGATTTACAGGAAATCGGAGGTCGATCAGGATCTATTTCTGGAAGTAGTGGACCAACTAGTAGTGGATCTGGTGTATTTGGTTCGGGTTCCGGGACAAGTTCAGGGTTTGGTTCAGTTGGTGGTTCAATATCTCAGGGGACACCTCGACTTGGACTTAGGTCAGAGTCAATCCCATTGAATGGATTGGGTTCACAAACAAAGAGTCCGCTGTATAATATATTCATGAAAATTGGTACTAACAATAAAAGTTCAGCTAGTTCATCGTTCGATAGTGCCAGTGAAACGGGCGGTGGAAGACGAGGATTGGGTGGCGATGGATACAATGGTTCGTCAATTGGTTCTGAAGATCAAAGTTCTGGCTATTCAACTTGGTCAAGCTCTTCATCCGGTGGAAGCTGTAAACAAAATATAAAAGAGCAGCGAGGCTGGAGGAAAACAATTTTCTCTAATATAAAAACCACCACGACGACAAAAATTTTGGACAAATATGATTCCCAAGATTCGTCTCGATATTCACTTGACTCATCATCGGATAATTCATCGTTTAACTCATCGATATCAGCAGCCGATACCAATGTCAACTCAATGGAAAGTGGGGTGGCGGTGTGTCAATTGTTTCACAACAGCCGAGAAAAAGTTCAACTGAACTTCGAGATCTTTGGAAAAAAGCAATTAATCAACAAATCACATTAATCCAAATGGAAAAAGAAAACAAAAGACTTCAAGGTTCGAATAGAAAATCACTTATATATATAAATCTAATTGCGATCAACTAATCAAATTTTGTTTTCTCTCCCTCGACTCCTTAGCTAATCAAAATGTAGTGACCTGTAAACGGATGAAACTGGACTACGAGGAGATTACACCTTGCCTTAAAGAGACCACGAAAATGTGGGACGAGCTATTAAAACGCGATCCAAACGATTCATCACTCGAATACCTATTAAAAAATAGTATTAAAAAAGGTAAACAATTGGATTGTCAATCATATGGAAAATTAATTCTCTTAATTGTTGTTACCAATTCTTAGGTGTTCCAAGATCTAAACGAGGTGAAATTTGGCAATTTATCGCTCGATATAATAAACAAAACAATCGCATGTTAAACGGTGGTAAAGACGTTGGTACCATTGATCCCGATCAACCTTATCGACAATTACTCCAACAATTAACTGCTCAGCAACATGCAATTCTTGTTGATTTGGGTAATCAATTTGTAGATTTAAAAAAAATTTTCTTTCTACTAATCATGTTAATTTCTCTTCTTTAATCATGTTAATCTGCTATTTTCATTTCACAGGTCGTACTTTCCCCAAGCATCCGTATTTTTCACAAGCTCTGGGCGCTGGTCAGTTGTCACTTTTCAACCTACTCAAAGCTTACTCACTGTTTGACATTGAAGTTGGTTATTGTCAAGGACTCAGCTTTGTTGCTGCTATACTTTTGTTACATGTAATTAACTATCTTAATTTTAACCATTAACCTTTGTATTACTCACAATTAATTGATTTCTTACAATTTTATTACAGATGAATGAAGACGAATCATTTGAAATGATGAAATATCTTCTCTTTCATCTTGGATTAAGACGACAATACAAACCGGACATGAGTGCATTACAGGTAAGATTAGGATAACAATAGAAATCTCAATTTACAATTGATTGAGATGAACCTGGTCAATGAGAGAGGGAGAGAGACAAAGAGGGTGGACAGTTATGGTCATTTTGTTGTTATTTTTTTTATTCGCAAGTGATTGACCTTTTATGCATTTTGACCTTCCCATTTCTTTTCTCTCTCTCTCTCTCTCTAACTCTCTGGTCAGTTTAACATCTAAGAATAACGTCTGACCAGGTGAAAAGAAATGGTCACTCAACAATGAAAGGTTTTTTTTGGAAAAAATTTTATGGACAAATGGTCAGTGAATAAAAAAAATGATACTGACCAGTAAACGGGAGAAAACAATGGATGTTAAGGGTTAGAGGTTATTATTGGATATGGGAGAGGTCACTTTTAAAAGGTCACCCACCTTTGCTCAATTTGACCACAAATGTGCTGAAAATGTGCATGAATGGATAACGGAAACACTAGAAATAATAGTATTTCCGTTTTTTCGTTCTCTGTCCATATTAACCATTTAGCCGTTTGAATGTCAAACAATTTATTAATTATTGAATCTTCTTGATTTTTCAGATGCAATTATATCAATTAACTCGACTTCTTTATGATTTTCATCATGATATTTACCAACACTTTGACACTCATGATATACCACCCACTTTATATGCTGCCCCTTGGTTTTTGACCCTTTTTGCCTCCCAATTTCCGATCGGATTTGTTGCTCGATTATTCGGTGAGAAACTTTGAACAATTATTTGTTCGAATTTTGAGAAGAGAAAGTTCTAACCTTTGTATGAAATTATTTCCTCTCTTCTTTCAATCAGATATTATTTTTCTATTTGGAATCGAAGCGATATTCCGATTATCTATCGTTTTATTGGCTACTTATCGTGAGGCCATTTTATCGTGTACATCGTTTGAAACGATAATGGAACTATTAAAATCGGAAATACCTCAAATGGATGCCATTCAAATGGAACGGGTTTTCAATCAAGTGCTATCACGAGATATTAGTCGACAATTAATTGTCTACGAAACTGAATACAATTTGCTCCAAGAGGAAGTCTCCTCACTCTCCACTTCCTTTGGTTCAAACTTTGGTGCTAATAATGAACTTTTTGGTTCCAACGGTAACATAACAAATAATCAATCTAATCATCATCATCATCATAATCACCATCAAATCTCATTACCACCCACATTAAGTCCAGTTAAAGGTCAACAATTAAAGTCGACAATTTCTTTCTCAACAGTATCAACTCAATATGCTGATGATGGACAAATAAAACAGCTGATTAACAATAATTTCGTTGATTGTTCAACGTCAACCGTTAATTCACCAATTAAAGAGTCACCATTAGATGTAATCGACAGTGGTCATCATGAGGATACTGGACGATCAGCTGAGTTGGAGGGTGAAAATAAATTACTTAAAAGTCAAAACATGGAGCTTCTTGATCAGCTTCATGTTGCACAATCAAATGTTTATTCACTTGAATCGTCAATCGAAACACTTAAATCAACAATTAAACGATTAGAATCTCGAGTTAGATCAGTTGAAGAGGAAAGAGATGCTCTCTTCGATTCTCTGAACATGTTACGACAACGAACTACAACTTCCGCTACTCAAAGTGGATCATCTTCCATACCAACTTCCGCCGGTGGGACACCATTACCATCGTCGCCGTTACCAGAATCGCTACTGGAATAGAACCATTATTTGGACGGTGGAAAACACAATTAACACAATTCGAAAGTTGGACAATTCTAAAAAAATCGATAAATTATACACTTTGAGATGGAGTTAATTGTCTCTTTAAATTACAATATTTTTCTCTTTCAAACAATTAACTAATTGCGAGTTAATTCACCTAAGAATGGCTACTTATTTTTCTTCTCGATCCAATCAATTGATTTTGATGGAAATTCATTGGATCTGATTTTTTTCTTCTTCTCTTTCCTTATAATCCTAACCCTTAATAGCTAATTAACAGTTCGTAATTTATTGTAACAATTAATTACTTTCTTCTCCTCTTTCTCCCTTCGTAATCATTAATCTCTTTCTAGTCAAATTTAATTGTTCAATCTGTTGACACCTTTTTCTGTTTCTGATTAATTGTCACATAATTACAGATTAATTGATGTTCAAAAGCACACAATTTAACTGTGCAAAAATTTAATCATCAACACAATTGATGATTTATATTAATTATATTGTATAATTAACGTTATTATTATTTATCCTCTTAAATTAATTATATATATTTACCTAATTATTATTATTATTGTTATTGTATTTGTGTAAATGAGATTTAATTTAAACAATTAACTTATATACATACAACTTCCCTTGTGTAATTGGTAAAAACAAAATTAAACAGATAATAATTTAATCTTAACAATTGGAAAATCACTAATTGTAAACAATTTAAATCGAGAGAAACTTTTACAACCAAAAAATTGGATCAATCAAAAGAAAGAATCAAATTGATTGAGATTCATTTTTAAAAGAAAAAAACTTTCCATCAATTAAATTACATAAAAACCAATTAAATTGAGAATAAAGTCTAAAAACATCAATCAACTAATTAGAAATTTAATAACAATTAAGTTAATTAAAAATCTTTTTCCATTCTTTATTATGCCCACTGGCCAATGCATTATACATTAAACTTCAGGTTGTCCTGAAGGTCCATTCGGACTCTGAACTAGACGTTCAGATTTTATTACAAGGATTTCATTTATTTTTTTTAAATTGTTAATTTTGATTGTGACATTTTCGTTTTCAGTGAGGTCCCATGAGTCTAACCAGTATAATTGTGTACTTTTGCAGGAGGAGAGGTAATGGGTTAGTGGTCTTGTCTTGTTCTTTTTTCTGTCAATGATTGAAATTGACATTTTAATTCTCTGACATATATTGTCTAATTCTTGTATACTAATTCCGTGAAAATGGTTGTATTCTCTGTTTAGAGGTTGATTAAATAGTAGAGTGTATATTGATGGTTTTCTGCAGTGAAGAGTTAACATTTTTATCTGACCATTGATGTAATCGTTGACATCTTTGGGGGTGTTGATCCGATTTTTAATGGTTATTTCTCTGATAGGGTTGAGGGGGATATTTTTGGAAATGTCGGTGTTGATCCACGTGAAGAGGGTAGTGTGTGCTTCAAGCATTTTGATGATTATTTTTGTAGAGGTCGAATTAGGGAACATGGTGATATTTTCTGGTAGGTGGTAGTGGGTTCGTTGGTGCTTGTGTTTGTTAATAAGGAGGAAAAGTGCTAGAAGGGTAGTTTTAGTGCTGGTTGTTTCGGTAACTTGATAGATAACTGTTTCATTATCGAGGCAAATTTTATTGTTATTGATTCTGACATAAGCTGTAGGGAGTGGAGAGTAGGTTGATCTTTTTGCCCAGAATTTCTTGGAGTTATAACTTGTGGGATTCGAGAAAGTGACTCTTTCTTTCATGATTTCACATATCGGCCAATTATCCAAATTTGTTGACACTTTGATTATCGCCTTAATCAGATTTTTTAACCAGGTTTCCAAAGGGTTAACTACTCCAAACACAAATAATGGAGACCAAGACGACGACCATTTGCTAAGATTAAGAGTTTTTTTGAGTCTGAGATTGACGATTTTTTGGATATTTGTTACAAGGTTGATATAATTTTTGTTCTTGAAGAGAGAGTGAGGACCAAGATGAAAGAGCATCGAGCTAACATAGGCGGATATAGCAGTTCTTCTGTAGTGAGCTGGAAGTTTGTTGATAACGCGGAGTTGCGATGAGATTTTTGTTTGAAACTGATTTACCATTTTGTTTAAATCATCTTCGTTCAGGGTGTAACTGACCATTTTACCTGTCAACATTGTATTAGAAGAAGCTGGATGTTTAATTACTTTTGTCTTATTGATGTTTATTTCCAGGTCAATGGTGGCTAGTTCAGACGACAATTTTAAGATCATCACCATGATTTTGTTCGCTGGTAAGAATAAAGATATCATCAGCGAAGGAGATTATCCTTACACTCTTCCTGGTGATGTTTCTAATCGCCTTATTAAGCCCAACAATGAATAGAATAGGTCCCAAGGAGGAGCCAGCAGCTGTACCTTTGTCGTCCCTCCTGTACAAGATCTTACGTTCATGAGCGACTCTGAGAACTCTATTGGTGTTGAATGATCTTATCATAGAGAGAGTACCAGGATCGATGAATCTTATGAGCTCACTGTAGATGGTTTCTAGGCAGACATTATCGAAAGCTTTGGTGGCATCAATAGAGACTATAATACCTTCCTCAAGATGTTCTCTGAGAATAACATGAAGTTCGTCTATTCCATAATCGCCATGGTATGCAAATTGAGTATAAGGAATGAGGAGGTCAGGAAGGATTTTTTTTACTCTGGAGGTGAGTATTTTGTCATAAATTTTCAACAGAAAGTTCGAGATTTTTATAAGTCTGAGCTTCCCATCCGGTTTCGGAATGTAATGTGCACCGAAGGTTTTGACGGATACAGGAACTACCCCGTAGATGAATGATTCACTTATTTTTTCGATGATTTTTTCCATGTTTACTTTCCAAAATTTGAGCCAATACTTTAAGGTGAAATTGTCAGCATTCCCCGATTGTTTGACAAAAGTCATTTCCGATATTCTCTTACTTTCCTCACGGCTTAGAATTGATGAGTACCCTAATTCGATTAACGGATCTGGCCTGATATTACTAAAAGAGATTAAGTCTGGATTCGTTTTTCTGTTTGTTATAAGATTTGAAATTTCATTTTTTTTCCCTATTAGTTTTTTTATTAACTTCCACATCTCGGTGGGGTTTTTTCGTATTCTAAACATGTACTTTCTCGTTCCAATTGCTCTTCCTATTCTGAGTTTCAGACACTTGTCTTCTAAAGGCTTTATCTCTGCTCGATCAACTCCTCTTCTTTTCATTTTCTGAATTCTGTTCCTGAGTTTTCTGATTCTGTGATTACTTACTGTTGTTTTGACTTTGATGAATCGGTGACCTTGATTTTGTATTTCTAATATTTTCTCAAAGAAAGATCTAAAATCACTAATTTTGGGTAACTTAGTCCTATTCTTGTTGTTAATGAATTTATGAGTGTATCTATTTAAATTTATGAATTTCTCTTGAACATCAATGTAAATAGTGTAAAATCTATCCAAGACCTACCAGTACTGTTAGAGAAGGAGAAGTTATCTGAGGTGGGGGCATTCATAACCGTGAGAGACGAGCGAGAGAAGAATTCATCAAGAGGAACACTGCAGTTATTCAATCTTTGCCTTTGCGACCATAGTTTACCTTCACAATTCGAGTCCATAACAACGATCAAGGGTAGATGAGTGTACTTGGAGCACGTGCCAATGAAATCAATGATGTTTTGTTTCATATCCTTGTGGGCGATGTACGAACCACCAATTATAACTTGTTTTTTGTTACATTGAACGAGAGAGAATATACAGTTAGTTGTAAGTGTATCAGATGCTAATATTGTTACATTATTTGATGTAACCATGATTGTTTGATCATTTATTATGATTTGATTTCGAAGATAATAAGTGGAGACTTTTCGATTGGCTTCAACTAGAACTAAGACACAATTTTTTGAGTTAATTGTCTGTTTGATCAGTTTATCAGTCAGATCGTAGTTTTTCCTGGCATTAACATAATTTAACTTGATTTGGGAAGAGTAGCCATTCATGGTCATAGTCGATGTTTCTAGCTGCTTTAACTAGGAGATATCTAGTAACAGGACAAGCTATCGAATTTGTCGGATGATTATCACCACAGAAGAAGCACTTTACAGGTGATGTACACTCACCCTCATGATGGAGTGAACAATAAACGCATCTATTGCGATTAGGGCAGACAGGATTCGAGGGGTGATTAGATTCAAGACAGGAGCACAGGTTGGTTTTCACCAGATCAAAAATCGAAAAGATTTCACCATTGAATTTTATATAACCATCATTATTTAGAATAATTTCACGATTTTCCTTACTTATGTTAAGGGTGATTTTTTGCTCGTTGTTTTCAAGATGCTCCAGGTAAGACACAAAAGTTAATGTGTCACTGAAGAAACCATTAGATGTTACCAGGTTGTTAAGAATTAAACACAAAGATGTTGGAGCCAAATTTTTAACAGTGAAAAACATACGAGAGGGTTGAGGGTTAAAGATATTTATGGTGATGTCGGAGAAACTTGTTCTAATCAGAATAATAGCATTTCTCTGAACACTACCCGATATGAAGCCCACTTCAAGTCCAGAATTTCGTAGTTTATAATAGGTGACACACTTGGAGGAGTTAATTACTCGTTCCGTAAGTAGAGAGATGATCTTTTCACAATTTTCACGATTTACACCTTCGATCAAGATGGAATATCTTTTATCAATACACGGGAGATTCTTAATCCAGCCTAGACGTTGGGCTTGAAGTTCACGATAGATATTCAAATTCGACATTTTAGTTGTCAAGTTTTTGTATTTAAAAGGGTTCAAATGAAGATGATTAATAAGAAGAGTCGAGAAAGTTCTGACTGTAATGAGGTTAAGAGATAAGTGATACTAATTTCTGACTAAATTAACATAATAATCATGATTAAAAGGAGAGCCCACTAATCGTCCTTTCTAACTTTGTACCATTATCAATTAATGAGAAATAACTAAGAGGTTAATTATCGACCCAGAGTTTAATTGTTACCAATTTAAAGAGTAAACAAGATAATCACAATTATCACTTAAATACTTTAAACAGTAGAAAGTTTGAGAAATAAAGTCGACAAGTAAACTCATTGGCAACTTGGTGTTATCAATTAAGACAATCAGTTTGGGAAAGCAAATAGAATTTAAAAGTGAGAGTAAATTGGTGAAAGGAAAAACATTTAGGAAATCAGAAGGTCATTAAGGATTGAGAATGTTGTTAATTAGTGAGGGAAGGTAATTAACTTTGAATTAGTTTGTCAATAGGAAAAAATAATCATTGTTTTGTTAGTTTGTTTGGGAACTTATCTTATGATGATGATTTTTCTCTGTGTCTAAATCAGGCCATAATAATCTTGTATTGATAATTCATACGCTCAAGTTCATGGAGAAGTTTTTCTTGAAATCTTTCGCACTTAAATTCCCAAGCATGTTCACCAATTTTTTTACAATTTGGACATTTCCATTTATGTTTAATTTCTTTAATTGGACAGGCTTCTTGCTTGTGGTTAGTTTCGCCACAGTACGGACAAATGCTCATCTGAGTGCATCGACTGGAGAGATGACCAAATTTGGTACATTTTCGACACTGACGAATATCAAAGAAATCAACAGCAGTGACTCTTTTGTAACCAACTGAGACTTGTCCATTCTTATCTTCAATGAATTCTCTAAGGGCCGGGTCGATTTCCAGAATGATGTCAAATAGTCGACCATTTTGATAAAAATGCTTTATTTCAGCTTTCCAACAACGTTTCCATTTGTTTCTGATGTATAAACGATTGATCCATTCGCTTTTCTTCTCAGTATCAAATTTAACACCAATTATTTTAATCTTCGGGTCATGAATGGGAGGAATATTAACTTCCCATTCAGGTTTGATTTTCTTTAGATAATTGTAAATCCGAGTTCTTTCAGCAACAGATGAGCATTTTATTTTAGCTGAGTCGTAGCCTGGTAAAACCTCTTCAGCGGTAATAGAGTCATCAGCTTGTTCAAGTAAGTTCTCAACCTGTTCCAATGTCAGGTCGCCAATTTTAGATGAGCTTTTATTCTTTAGACCAGGGATGCGAACTATTATAGTTTGATACACCGTAAGATGAGATACATCAAACCAAGATTCAGGTCTTTGTTTCTTGTTTTCAAATTTAACACTGAGTAGATTCTTGATTTGGTTGTTGGATAATTCTTGAACTTTGATCGTTGTATCAGCACTTTCTTCCTCACCAGTTGATGTATCAATTGTAATTAGTCGGTCAGTGAATCGGATAATTTCCAGGAGTTCATCATCGTCTAGTGTTTTCGAGGAAATGGGATCTTTGGTGAAAAGCTGAAGATATTTGATGATAGGGAACGCGTTCAACTCAGTTCCTACGGTATTCGGGTTCAGGTTGGATGTATTATTAAGCTTAAAGTAATCGTATACAATTTTAAATTTGTTTTTGTTTGAGACTCTTGCATCCCCTGAAAAACAAAGAAAGTGTTAGTATTTCAATAGACTTTTAAGTGTTTTATGTTATAAATTCATTTTCGTTTTAATTTCAGTTACATTTTAAATTCAATTCGTTTTAAATTCAATTCGTTTTAAATTCAATTCGTTTTAAATTCATTAATTACTCTGTATAAATATTGAGTAACCTGTATCCCTGTAATATACATACTTAGCTTTCTAAGGGGATTGGGCGAATCGGTCACAGCAGGACTATCCATTGTCCAAATTTTACAGGTGATATGTCAATTTGACCGTACTCTCACAATTAACACGATTAAAATATTTAAGAGGTGGATAAATTTCACTATCACAGGTAAAAACAAACAAATTCAGGAGCACAGGAAAAACGTGACTTCACTAGTCCATTCAATTTTAGTTCTTTTCCAAGCCAACAGATGGCGCAAAAGTCAAATTCTAACCAAAAAAAGATCAGCTGATTAGCTTGAGAATTTAATTTTTCCCTTGGCAACTTGTTGATTCGTTAATTGTTTTTACTTTTGTTAATTAACTGATTGTTAAGTTTTAATTTCTCTTATTTTGTTTCATTCTGTTCTAACCTTAATCATTAATTAACCACCTCTTCATTTAGTAGATTAGATTTTACCTTGTGAAAGAAACTAATCTCTTTATTTTCCTTTGTTTTATTTACCTAAATACAATAATTGTGAATCTGTTATCCTGCTGATTAATAAGTTAATCTGTTTTTCATATTAATTATTTGTCAATTTCAATATCTTATTTAAGGTGTGGCTGATTGAAGGTAAAAACCTTCTAATTCTTTTGTTAATAGTGTATATATATAATTCCTAACAAATTAACTACATAATAACGGATATGACATTGACTTTTTTTTCTCAATATTTTCTGTTAACCTTTTTTTTTAGATATTGGATCTGGATTAGCGCTTGTGGATTAAAACAAAAGCTACAATGTTAACAAGGCGAACAATTTTTTCCATCTCTCTCTCTCTCTCTCACTTACTCACTGTTTCTCTTATACAAATTGGAAATCTAATTAAGCCTTACAGCCATTTTACTACCAATTAAATTACCAATCAAGTGAATTATCTGTTTTTTCCTACCTGCAAGCGGTAACTCTCAGTTCCCCTAAACCAAACATCACCTACAAACCATTTTAATGCTATTATATTTTTTTCCCACTCGATACAATTTAACACTAAACCCATAATAATAATACTATCAAACTAATCAATCGTATTTCTTAAACCTTGTTACAATCAGTTGTCAATTTAGAAGAAAAAAATTAACAAATTAACACACTAAATAACATTTCACACACACAATAATTAGTCAAGTGAAAAATGACAATTTACCAATAACTAACAATTAAACCTCGCAACTTTTAATGGTTACAATTTTTTCACCATTATTATAATCATTTCTCAAGAGTTAATTTTGATTAGTTAACTAATTGTGTTCCTCTTAAAGAGTGAAAACAGATCCTTAATTTACTCTCTCTCTCTCTCTTTCTTTTTCTTGATTAGTTAATTGTCCAGTATGGAGCAAGAATTACCAAAAGTATAACAGTAATTAGTAATTTGATTATTTTCTCCTTTCCAACAATTAACTTTGTTTTTTGTTTCTCTCCAGTTATCGAGTAACATTTACATTGAACCTTCTCAATGAATTTTAATAATTAACTAACAACATCAACAATTAACTATTAATTTTCTAATTGCAGTTAAAATGGTCAATCATTATTTTCTCTTATTTTTTTTTACTTAACTTTTTTTTCATTCCTCTTCCTTTTTCTGACCATTATCATTATCATTTCATTGATTATCTTGATCAACATTATCTTCCTCCTCATCGCAATCAGTATATCAGTTATTATCTCAATGTTTGCTCATTTAATCAACACATCAATCACATTCAATGATATTTATACAGTAGTAGTAGTGATGGTGGTACAAGATGAAGATCAAATTTCATCATCATCTTGTTGGAGATAAAGTCGACTGATATCGTTGGAACGTCAGGAAAAAAAAGCATCAAGAATCAAGAAAAAAAGAGAGAGAAAAAAAATCCAAGATCAAAGGTAAAACGAATGACGATGAAGATGAAGAGTAAAAAAGAAAGAGAGGAAGAAGATGAAAAATCTATCATCATCATCTCTCTCTCTCAGTAAATGAATTATACAGAATGTGATCTCGCTCGCGGCTCTCACGATGTTATATTATCATTAAGCTGAAACTATTAATTCAATTTAATCCGTTGTTTGAGAAGTCGCCTCTCCCTTTAATTTCAATTGCTATCAAACGTTTCACTCATTAATGAATCTTGATGATTGTCTAGATAGATTAGAGAGTGTGTGTGTGTGAGAGAGAGAGGAGACGGAGGGAGAAAATAAAAGATGAGGATGCTGAAGATGAAGGAAAAGGATTAAAGGTTAAAAAAAGATTTGAATGTTTGATTAATTTTTCTAGGAAAAAAATAAATAATCGAGATGAAAGATGAGGAACAAAAATTTTCGAATAACAAATTTCATCTTATTATATCAAATTTCATCATCATCATCATCTACACACTAACCAACACCGCCACAGCCTCTTGAGCCCCACCCGAGATGATTATGAAACCTTGTGCTCTCCAAGCACCATAACAATCATTATTACCTGTGTATTTATATATTTTTCAAAGCTTTAAGATGCTAACCAAGCGTGATAGTTGTTGATGATGATGATGATGATTGTGAAATGATAAAAAAAAAACGTGCTAAGACATTGAAAATATGTTTACATGTGCGTATGTGCCAAGGTAACAAATATCATTCAATTCAGTTCAACAAACTGATAACTTTATGATAGTTTATTAACTTGAGTTCACCGACATTTGGCGCCTTTTTTACTTGATTGATATCTTTTCATTTTTCTCTCTCATCATCATCATCATCATCATCAACAACAACAGAATCACCTTCTCCTCCTTTATCATCATCATCATCTTTTTCTTCCTCCTCCTCTTGTTGAAGGGGAAAAAACAACGTTGACATTGTTGATTCAATTTCGTTGTAACTTTTTCATTCTCATTTCGTTGGGAAAATTATCTTTTCTTATCAACAATGTTTACAATTTAAATAATTGTGACAATCAGTAAACATGATAATCTGGTAATGCCACTAACCTATTAACTTGATACATGTTAATCAGTACAATTTGATGATAATTTTGTTGTTTTGCTGTTCACTAAATTAAGTAAATTGTTGATCGTTGATTCAACAAATGTTGATCATCTATTTCTTATATTGAAGAAGCTGTTTGACCGGCATATATAATTTAGAACCTACTTTACAGGGTGGGTTCAGTAGTAGTTTACCTGTAAAAAGTAGTAGCGGTTAATGTCGGTTGTTATTCAAGATAAATCTCCATGATAAGATGACTTGGTAATCAGTGGGACACATCCTTTTGAAATTCAGATAACTATCATCATCATCATCTTCATCATCTTCATCATCATCAACATACCTTTGCAACTTTTCAATCATCATCATCATCAGTCTAATCTTTAGCATCTTCTGGATCAATGTTATTGCGATTTCTTTTCTTTTTTTCTCATTTTTCTCTTCTTTTTCATCTTCTTCTCATCTTCATCATCATCATCTTATCATCTTACTATTGATACTTTTTATTGCTTTTTTGCACCAAATTTACAGGTAACATTTACCATGAATGAGAAAATTTTATATTACCTCACATTCAGATGACGAAAATTGTTATCATATAATATAAACAACTACAATTATTGTAAATTGTTTTTAATTGCTAGAGATTTACACGATTATGTTGATGATTACGATGAAGATTAAAATGATTATGGAAGAGAGAAAAAAAAATATTCCAATCGATTTGTTTTCTTTTTCATCATCTATTCATCTTGATGACTACATGTCATCAACATCAGGTTGATGTTGTTGTTGTTTGATTTTCAATATTATCAACAAGATGATGAGGTTAATTGTGATTATCGTGTTGATTGGTGATCATGATGATTAACACCCGATTCATCATCATCTAGAATGATTTAATATTAACAACAACAAGTAGAAAAAGCCTCTTTCTTCAAGTATATTGGTCAACAGATAACAATCAACAGTTAATTCACTAAATTGTTATTCCCTTGATTATGATTATCATGATGATCTTATGCCCATATCTCATCAGTTATCCCTCCTGTTGATTCAACTAAATCTTTCATCTTCCAATTATCATCTTCATCTTCATCTTGTATCTTTCTATTTTTCTCTTTCTTCCATTCATATTCCATGCTGAGTTTATTCAGAATTTTTCATCTTGTTCCATCATTCTTATTCATTATCATCTCTCATCTTCCTATTTGTATTTACTACTCAATCTCAAATAACAACAATCAAAAAGTAGCTAAAAGTTTTCTCTGATCCTCTGAATTTCATTCAATCAACAATCATGATCACATTGATTCTGATTCCATGTCAATTATCATGATAACTTTTTCTTTCACCATGATGATTATTTACATGAATAACTTGTGGTCAGAACTTTGAAATCTGAGTGGGTGTTGGTTGGATTGAATCAATTATTATTAATTCCTCTCTCTCTCTCAATTTAACTTTATTATCATATTGCCCACACCTAATGTTGATTTAATTGATTCTCTTCATTGATTATGATTAAATTACATGATGATGATGATGATGATTCATGATACATGAGCGTTAATACATTAGCACTTAATCAGAACCATCATCAACATGATTATCATGAAGATGATGATTGCTAATCAACCTCTTTTCTCAAAAAAAAAAATCTAAATTGTTACAATCAATTTGATCTGAGCTTCTTGTCCCACAATCAAATCAGTAAATTGGTTAACAATCAATGATGAAAAAAAAGTTTTTTTTTTCTTACAAAGAATTGATTTATTTTCAATCTCAACAAATGGAAAATCAATCAAACTTAATTGTTACTCATTTGTTGTAATTAAATATTAAATTGAACGACAAACTTATTAGTTATGATAATTAACCAATACTATTAATTGAGAAAAAGAAATTGATTATGATTATTGATTATCGAGTAACTAAATTAAAACATGAATGAAAAAGAAAAACATGAAACAGTTATACGATCTCACGAAATCAATTAAATCTGATCTAGTCTTCGTTTCATGATTAATCAATTAATTAATCATATTCTTTACCTTCTCATGATGATGGAGATGATATTTTACCCTCAGGCGATTTCAACTGAGCTGACCTGGTGAGTTGAGAATTTATTTCTATTTGAACAGATCAAGTGGTTTATCCGAAAATTTTTATTTCTCTTTTCTTTTCGCCATCGAATTTGCGAAAAATTAAAAGTTAGAACAAAAAAAAAACGAAAAACTTATACATTAGAACTTTTTTAATTTCCAATTCGATATTCACTTTTTCGAACATGAATTATTATATTAATCATGGTTAGATTTGATTCTAATTGTGAAATTATTTCGTTCTCTCAATATAAATTCACCTAAAAGTTGAAAAGGTAATTTCAATTGTCCAATGATTGGTAATCAGTTGATTGTTGATGATTATCATTTCCTATTGTGTCTGTATCACTTAATCATAACTGTACTTTTCCTGATCACAATGGGAACTTGAAAACGTGTTGACATGCCAATGCATGAGGTCCGATTAGACTGACCAGTTGTCCATTCATATTTTTAACCATTGAACAGCAAATTTAAATCAAAATTGATTCTCATTTGTTGATAAAAAAACGTGATCATTAACAATCAATTGAGTACAAGAAAAACATTGGCACGTATCATGTGAGGTTGATGGTCAGTCTTATTATTATTATTGGTTAAAAGGGTCAAGTGCTGATCATCATCATCATCATCATCATGATCATGATGATAAATAGTAAACAATTTACCTGTAAAAGTCCAATCAAATTAACATAAAGACTATTACGATTTTCAATATTGTGAATATTTTACCAATCAAATTAATATGTTTTTTTGTTTCTCGGCTAACAATTAACTCTCAATTAACAATTTAGTGTTTAAATTGCACTTTTTGATGATCAATTGATTATCTTTGATTGTGATACTGATTAAATTGTTATTGATTCATTAGATTTGACCCAGATTATGATTAAAGGATTAAATAAAACTTTAATCATTACAATTAAGTCTGTTGGTCAGATGATTTAGTTTTACTAATGTTAATTTAACTT